CCTTCTTTTTGATGTGTGTTTTGGGGGTGGTCGTGTGGATTGAACAGGAGTGCTCTACCACTGAGCTGGGCCCGCAGCATTTTTTTCTTTACAGATGGGGGCTCATTAAAAGTTCATCCAGGGGCTGGGGGCGTGGCTCAGTGGTAGAGCACTTGCCTAGCATGTGTGAGGCACTGGTTTTGATTTTCAGCACCTCACATAATAAATGAATAAAATAAAGGTCCATCAACAACTAAAAAAAATATTTTCAGAAAGAGTTCACCCAGGCTGGACTCAAACTGTGCTTCTTCTACCTCAGCCTCCTGAGGTGCTGGGATTACAGACGTGCACAACCATGCCTAGCTAGCTACCTGTGCCACTGAGATAGGCTCTGATTGAAGTGAGGAAGTGGGATTTCAGAGCAGCCCTTACCTGGAGCCATCATCAGTACATTGTCAGTAGAGGGCACTATAGAGACACTAGACACCTGGGCTGGACGAAGGACTATTCCAGGCGTGCTGTATTCCACAGTGGCTCACCTTCATGATTCAGAAACAGCCCACACCACCCCTCCCCTGCAAGGTCCCCCATTCCTAGAGTGGCAGGCTTGGTCAGCTGAGACCCCTAGAAGTTTTTCTGCCTCCATTGTCAGGATGTTACTGCTGCCAGTTGAGGCCTGAAGCCTTAATTTTCTGGACTCCACCCCTCCAGTCCCTTCTCAGGGTTAGGGAAGTAGTTGCTTTCTGCACTTTTGTGTGTGTGTGCTGGGGATTGAAACCAGGAGTGCTTTACACTGAGCCACATCTCCAGTCCTTTTAATTTTTAAATTTTGAGACAGGGTCTTGCCAAGTTGCATAGGACCTTAGTAAATTTCTGAGGCTGGTCTTGAACTTTTTTCCATCCTCCTGCCTCAGCCTCCTGAGTTGCTGGGATTACAGGTGTGTACCACTGGCTAGCAGTTAAATCTCTTTGTAGCAGTTGCCTTTTACTAATTGAATAACCTCTTTTAGTGTTAAAAGTTTCTCTATTTTTTGTCTCCTCAGTGTTGACTGATCGTGGGTCGTAATATTTGGAGGCTTGATCAAATTCGAGCCTGATTCACAAGTGTAGGTGAAAGAATATTTCACAGGTATTGTTCTTTACTTCCTGTTGTATCACTTCAGGGCCACACACCTGGTTGTCCTGAGTAAGCAATAAGCTCGGGAGTCATCAGCTTCATCTAACATGAAATTCCCCGCTTGCCTTGTGTGCAGCAGTTTGGGCAGTTATTGGTGATCCCTGGAGTTGTGAAATCATATGTTGCTATCATTTGTTGTCTGGAATTATTCTGTAAAGAGAACTTTTTCCTCAGCTGTCGTCTTGAAAGGAGGTTCATTCTGACATAGGAAGGTAATTGCTAGATTTTATTAGTTTCTTTTTTTTTTTTTTTTGGTGGTGCTAGGGATTGAACCCATGGCCTGTACATGCAAAGCAAGCACTGTATCAACTGAGCTATATCCCCAGCCCTTAGTTTCTTTTTTTCTTTTATTATTATTATTATTTTATTTTTGGTACTGGGGATTGAATCCAGGGGCACTTAACCACTGAACCACATCCCCAGCCCTTTTATTTTCAGACAGGGCCTCACTAAGTTACTTAGGGCCTCATTAATTTTCTGAGGCTGGCCTCAAACTTGGGATCCTTCTGCATCAGTTTCCTGAGTTGCTGGGATTACAGATGTGCCCCCAGGATTTTCTTTTTAAGGTTGAATATTCAATATTCTTTTATTATTAGAATTTGTGTTTTTGGGGTTGGGGTTGAGGCTCAGTGGTAGAGTGTTTGCCTTGCACGCATGAGGCACCGGGTTTGATCCTCAGCACCGCATAAAAATAAAAATTGTGTCCACCTAAAATACACACACACACACACACACACACACTGAGCTACAACCCCAGACCTTTCTATTTTGAGACAGGGTCTCACTGAGTTATTTAGTAACTTGGTAAATTGCTGAGGCTGGCCTCAAACTTGTGATCCTCCTGCCTCAGCCTCCCAAGTTGCTGGGATTCAGGTGTGTGTCACTGCGATTGGCTCCTTCTATTGCTTTAAATTTGAACATTTTGACTTGAAAATGCCTAAATAGATCTGTACCAAGGTTCCTTCCTCCAGTAGACACCTCAAATTTAAAGCAGTTTTCATTACAGATCCTCAAATGCTAAGCTTGAAATTGTTCTGCCAAGTGGTTAATACTAATCATAGTGTGGCAGCAAAACAGTTGGGCCAGGCATAGTAGCATATGCCTATAATACCAGTGGCTCAGGAGGCTGAGGTAGGAGGATTGAAAGTTCAAAGCCTGCCTCAGCAGTTTAGCAAGATCCTAAGCAACTGAGATCCTGTTGCAAAATTAAAAAAAAAAAAAAAAAGGACGTGGTTCAGTATCTCCGGGTTCAATTCCTGGTATAAAAAACAAAAACACTGTGTTCCTTGCTTGTTGACCCATCTAAATTTAAGAATATTCTTAGGGAGAAAGAAAAGTGGCCCAATGCCTATTTTTGCAAAGCCTCAAGTTAAGAATGGCTTTTACATGTTTAAAAAATTTTTTTAAATTGTAGATGGACACAATACCTTTATTTACCTAATGTGGTGCTGAGGATTGAATCCAGTGCCTTATGCATGCTAGAAAAGCACTCCACCATTGATCCACAACCCCAGCCGGGTTTTTACATTTTTGAAAGATTTGGGGATAAATAATACAAAGACCCAGTCCACAAAACAAGATATTTGTTCTCTCTGTAACATCAGCAAACTGTGTATTTAAAAACCTCCAGGCGAGAGGCCTGTGAAATAATAGGCATGGATTTGTGGCATATTGGGGTGGGGAGTCACATGTCTAGAATCTAGCTTTATGACGGCTCTAACCTCAAAAGGAACATACAAACCCGTGCCTGCATCCTTCCCAGGATGTGGTGCACTGTTATGTAGTTTGCTGAGCCTGCCATAATGCAAGTCCACAGGGTAGTTGGCTTAAAAAGCAATTTACTTTCTCAGTTCTGAAAATTAGAAACCTGAAATCAAGGAGCTGGCAAGGCTGGTATCTGGGCAGGCCTTTTTTCTAACATGGATGTCTGCCTGTCCCTGTCCTAAGTTTCTGGTGTACTTGCAGGTGGGAGTTGGGGTGATGGTGGCAGGAGAGTTCTAAACTCTCATGCCCTTAGTATCAGGGCACTTTACCACCAAGCTGTATTCCCAGCCCTTTAAAATTTTAACACAGGGTCTAGCTAAATTGCTCAAGGTGGCCTTGATACTATGATCCTCTTGCGTCAGCCTCCCGAGTAGCTGGGATTATGGGCATGTGCCACCATGTCCCCCTCTCTTATGAGGACACTAATCCTGCTGGACTAGGGTCCCACCCTCTGACCTCATTTAACTTTAATTATTTCCTTCAAGGCTTTAGCTATACACAAGGTTGGGCTGACTTCAACCTATTAACATTGGAGGGACACAATTCAGTCCATTACTATAAATGCTGAATCTGGGCATAATTAAGTAGGGTCTGCATTCAGGGTTCCCATCTCTAAGTGCTGAGAGCATGTTTCTAGGTGGTTTACTCCTGATTCCCAGGCTCTACCTTGTGGGCTAATGAGTGAGTCCTAGTTATTGAATTAATGAATGCTGAGGAGATCAGACTAATACATGAAAAAATTCAGAGGACTATAAGGTGCTAATTTAAACATCCCATTAAAATTCTGTAGCAATTCTGAAGGTAAATTAAGAATAAACATTTTTTATTTTAAAAACAGACAACTACCTATGCTTGGTACTCCTTGCACGTGAGAGGATATTTTTGGTGGCATTAGGACATTTACAGATAAAGAACCACAGCCAGAGCTGAAGTGGTTCATGAGGGAGGATATGGGAAGATGCTAGGGAGGAGATACCACGTCTGGAGCCTCAGCTGTGTCAGATGTAAACAAGAGAACAGTACACTGTTTTTGCAGAAAGAGTAGATTAGGTAATTTTATCTGGAATGGAAAGAAACAGTGTGATCATCAAGAAGTTCAAGTTTGGGGCTGGGGATGTGGCTCAAGCAGTAAGGAGCTCGCCTGGCATGCATGCGGCCCAGGCTTGATCCTCAGCACCACATACAAAGATGTTGTGTCCGCCAAAAGACTAAAAAAGATAAATAAAAAATTCTCTCTGTCTCTAAAAAAAAAAAAGTTCAGGTTTGGGATGTAGCTTAGTGATAGAGCATGAGTACCACAACCAAGATGGCAGCAGCAGGGGCGGGGGTGGGAGGGAGGCTCAACTGCCTCCTCAAGAATATCGATTCCAAAACTTAGTACAGGGGTTGGGGCTGTAGCTCAGTGGTAGAGTGCTTGCCTAGTGTGTGAGGCACTGGGTTCGATCCTCAGCACCACATAAAAATAAATAAATAAAGGTATTGTGTCCAACTACAACTAAAACCAAACCAAACCAAAACACACACAAAAAAACCCCCCTACAATCTATAAAGTGATTTAGCTAACTTAAAAATGGTTCTGATAAAACTAGGCCCATGTGGTTTTGGAGCAAGGCAGGAGTATAGTTTACATTAAGATGCCAGCTCCTTGTCAACTGTGCTGAAACTCAAAACTTAAGGGGCAGGGACACAACTCCTTCCTCCTCTGATAAACACAAAAGGGGTTCATGTCCAAGTTGAGACTCTTCCCCTTTGCTGTTTGAGTTTCCCTTTCAAAGACTCATTAAGAAACAAATAGTTAACATCAAAATTACAGTCCTTTCTCATTTGTTCTATGACAAGATGAGGTGTTTTTCTAGTTAGAAGGTGGTGCTAATGCATATAACATTTGGTGTTCTGGTCTAGCATCGTAACAGCTAATGCAGTTTAAGTTTCAGCAGAAGGGTTTTTTTTTCCCAATCTAATAGAACAAAATTCTGCATAAATAACAAAAATCAGAAATGTAATTAGCAATTTAATTTTTAAGCTAAGTTTTACAACCCTTTTAGTGTCTTAACAGAGCTAACTGAACACATCTTAATACTAATTTGAGTCACTATTTTTATTCTTTATTGTCACATTTTCCAAGTTTTGGTGCCCAAACTTGGCAAACATCATGGAGATCTGTACACACATACATATACATATACATATATATATATATATATATATACACACACACACACACAGAAGTTTAAAGCCCCAGTTTCTTCGTTAAACCTTGTGCTCAGGCTTCTGTTAAAAAGAGGTAAAATGATAAGAAGATAAAAATCAGGGAAAACATGAAAAGGCCCAATTGATAACTCTTTTTACAAATCAAGGGAGACATTCTGAAGCAAAATCCATCACCTTGCTAAAATTCCCACCGAGCTACAGCCTCATATATTTACAAGAAGAATAAACAAAAGCCTTTTGCACACATCCACGAGGTTTAACAAGCCAGCTGAGGAGTTGTATTTTCTTGCTGTTATTTCAGGAACTTTTCATTAAAAAACGATATTTCAGTGATTAAAATTTCAGGTGTTAAAAACTTCATGCGGGATCATCTTTACATTCGGAAGCAAAATTCTTCAGGTAGGTACATGTCTTCAAATTGCTACACAATCCATCACAGCAACATTCAGGCTTTTCAATTAATATACATTTCCTGTTTGGTAACTAAGGGGCAGACTAGTGTATTCGAGGTCGTTTGACCTTGCTCTTCTCCGCAGCAGCTCTCCTCTTCTGTGGTGACAGTGGTGCAGGCTCCTTATTATTCTGAAGAAATGCAACAGCTCCTGGTAGACAGTAATTTTCCACAGGAGGAGGAGATTCCTATAAGAGCAAAGGAAATGTTTTTCTTTTTTTCTCCCCAAGATCTCAAACTTTTAGGTAATCAAGTCATAGACTCCTCACTCTGCCTTTTGAGGAGAAAAGCTTAAAAAGGAAAATGCTTATTCTTTCCTAGGTTCTTGCAAAAACCTGTCTCTTATGGTATGCTGGATAAGCATACACTTTTATCAGAAAAATGAGAGTACAGCTCAGGTAGAGGAAGAATCCCTGTTCAGATCTTCATGGGGATTACATGCTCAATAGCTATCATGACACAAGTTGTTAAGCTTAGCATAACATCCTCTCTATATTCCCATTTTACAAACCAATTTAAAAAGTTAAATAAGACAACCAATGTTACTTAACAAGAAAGTGGCAAAGCTACAGAGTTCCTTCCCTTCTCAAACCCACACATTCTTCTCCTTCACAGCCATTTTACAATACTGAAGAAAAGATTTCTTCCTTTATTCTAAGTGTAATAACATCAATTTTTGACTGGGTAACCTGAAAATAAAGCTCCATAAAATTGGTGGTCATTCCATGTATAACAACTATAAATTCTGACTAAAATATATTAAAGGCAACTACCAGAAAACTGGAGAATAAACAAATCAAGAAGAGCTGACATTTAGAAGAATAAATAGTATGGAACATTTTTCTCTCTTTTTTTATGACTTTGAGGAGAGGGCCCCAGACTGTTGTGCAGCCTGGCTAAAATTAAAAAAAAAAAAGGCTTGAAGAAAGACACAATGAGAACCACACCCCCTGGAAAGTAAGGTGGGAAATCCCAGAAAAAAACAACAAGCGGGGGACCCAGTTCAGGGAGGAACCCTGCACAAATCTTCACTTGACCTCTAAATCATGTCATGTGTGTGCTGACCAAAGACACTGAACTGAGATTTAAGCTGCGGCTGCTTTATGTCAGTCTAGTAAACTGCCTGCTAAATAAAAACAGTAGTTTTCAGAGGGCTACAGCAGAATGCAGTTTCTAAACTTATTCACAATGTGCAGGATAGATTCAGAATTATTCTACATATGTAGAAGCAGAACATAATTCATTCTCAAGAAAACATAACAAAAATGAAATACTTATTAACAAAGTGTTCATGAAAAATCAAGGAACTAAATTAATAGGCCATGTTCACGGATGGAAGACTCAAAACACACTTAAAGAGATCAATACTAATGAATGCAATTCCCATTAAAATTTTTTATGAGTATAAACAAGCTTATTTTAAAAATTTATGGAAAAAAGGTACAACTGAAGAAAGAAAAATGTAAAGGCACCTAAATTAGCTAAAACAATCTTTAAAAAGAGGAGTAAGTAGAAGCTATCACTGCCTGATATCAGGGCTAACAAAATAAGAGTTGTAGGATCACAGCAGCAGACCACCACAGAGGGGAAGACACAGATCAGTGAAACCAGAAACAGACATACACAAGTATGCCCAACAGACTCTATGACAAAGGTACAAAAGGAACTCAACAGAGGAGAGAAGGTTCTTTGAACAAATGACAATTGGAGCCACTGCACAGTCTTAGAAGAAAGAAATCCCAGAACAAACTTTGACCTAAACTTCACATCTTATGTAGCAATTAGCTTAAAATGGATCATAGACACGAAGACTTTTAGGAAGAAACAAAACAATCTTTTAAGACCTAAAGCTAGGTAAAGGCTTGATATGAAAATCACAATCCATAAAATATTGACAAATCAGACCTCATCAAAATATAAACTCTTTGGCAGAGGAGGGAGCTCAGTGGCCAATAAATTTACTTCACATGCATGAGGCCCTGGGATCCATTCCATACCACAAAGCCAAAGAAAACCTCTCTGTCTCTGCAAAAGTCTCTTCTAAGAAGATAAATAAGCTGGGAGAAAATATTCACAAACCACATATGCAATTAAAGACTATCATCTAAAACAAGAAACCCTTAGTGCTCAAAAATAAAAACAATTCAATTAGAAAACGGGCAAAGGAGGCTGGGGATGTAACAGCTGAGTGGTAGAGTGTTTGCCCAGTGTGCACAAAGCCCTGGGTTCAGTCCCCAATACTAGAAACAAAACGAAAAACAGAAAATGGGCAAAAGATATGAACAGATATTTTAATGAAGACTATGTAAACATGCAAATAAGTATGCCAAAAGATGTTGGACTTCATTAGCCATGTGAGATACACAAATTAAAACCACAGTAAGATACTGAAATGGCTAAGAGAAAAAAATAGAGACAACACTAAATCTTGAAGACAGAAACTGGATCACTTACATTGCTGATGAGAATGTAAAACAATATGAATCTTCTGGAAACATCTTGGGCATGTGTCACAGTCAAATGAAAACATATTCACATGAAAAACAGCAGCTCTATTTATGGTAGTCCAAAACAAAACAACTCAGATGTCCTTCTCCAGGTTAATAACTCAAATAAGACCCTAGCTTTAGCTCTCTATATCTTCCTAACCCCCGTCATTTTCCCTCATTATATAAATTTTTATAACCTCACATGTCTCAGTAAATTGACCTTTTCTTTTTAAAATACAGCGTCTCACATTGCCCAGGATGGTCTCAAACTCTGAGGCTTGTTACACTAAGCAATCTTTAAAAGTCTCTTTACAAGTTGCTCCAGGAGTGTTATTAATGGTTACTAATTCCTAATCAGTATATCCACTTTATAACAAGGGCTTCAAGCATTCCTGCTGTTAAACCCTGAGCAACCCCCATACCCAAGCAGCAAGATCACGAAGCAGGCTGTTTTGGTTCCCCTTATTTCTATGCCAACCTATTCTAAAGACTTTGTAATAAAGACATTTAGGATTTTATCCGTCCTTGTTGATTCCTGGCGGACTTACAGGCACTCTACTGTCAGGAAGATTTTTCTTTGCCCATTTAAATCTTACACAGTATAAGCTGATTCTGAACACAAAATCTGCCCTCCAGATAGCAAATGCCTAATTATTACCATATCTAACATAGGTATTTACTGAAAATCAACACAAAGGTCAAGAAAACTAAGAAGGACCTTGGATAAACGATTTTCCTTGGATTCCTAAATCAATTTCTACTTTCTTTATATCCCAGTATTTGAAAGCACACTAGATTTGTATGACCTTGTCATATTTAACTCTCATGCTAAATGTTTATGTGTCATTATAAAAAACAGAACAAGACTGGAGGAGGCTAAATCAAGAAGAGCAGAAGATTGATCTTCCATTAATAACAAGCCAAAGGATCTGAGGTACAGATAAGCATATCTTTGCTAATGAGAAAATCAAGGACACAATGTCACCAACCTGCATAAGATAATCAGCAATGTATTCTGTTCTTAAGCAGTACACATTCTGGGCAGCAGCTTCTGCTATATTAATTCCTGAGTCATCTGGTTTCTGTTTATTTAAGTCAGAAAAGAGATGTGTGGCCTCTTTAAATAAAGGAACAGAATGACCAGGTAGCACCTAATGAAAAAAACAAAAAGAAACTTAATCTACCAGTGTTCCCAAGCAATTCAAACAGATAATATATACTTAAGCATTACCAATCTGAAAAATAGAGGAAATGAAGAATTGATCACAGCAAGCATGAATGGATAATAATTCATGTAAGACACTTAGTAAATTGATGTGAAACAAACCTTTGCTCCTCCAGACTGAAGAAGACGCTTAAATCCTGCTTCTCGGGATTGGTCAACATGTAAGATAACCTTCCAACCACTGAATGCTCCCTGTAAACAAAAACTATTCATCAGTGTTGAAATGATTTAGAAAATAACAAAATAATACTGATAATGTATGATTTTATCTGTAGACTGTTTTAAGTCAGGAAATTTTAAGTCAGGAAATAAAATTTGGGGGGGGGGGATGCCTTAGGGATTAAACCACAGGCACTTTACCACTGAGCCACATCCTCAGTCCTTTTTATTTTGAAACAGGGTCTCACTAAGTTGATTAGGGCCTTGCTTATTTGCTAGTTGGCCTTGAACTTGTGGATCCTGTCTCAGCCTGTGAAGTCACTGGGATTGTAGGCATGTGCCACTGAGCCCAGCTAGCAAGTAATTTCATGACCTTTACTTTTGCCACAACGTGATAATCTCTGGCACATTCCTCAGTAGACATTTGAGCTGAGCCCAGGTCTTTGTGCATGCTAAACAAGTGCTCAATCACTGATTTTATCTCCAGTCCTTTCTAAATTTTATTTTCATTCTGGGTCTTTCTATGCTGCCCAGGCTGGCCTCCAACTTGGGATCCTCCCTCCTAAGCTTCCTGGGCATCTGGGATTACAGGTAGATGCCACCATGCCCAGTATAAATTACTTTTAAAAGAGCTTTCAAGATATGTATCTTACTGTCAAACATAATTAGAAACACTAGAAATATACATTAAGTGCAGTTTAGAATTTCCAAACCAAACAAACATATCAAGGAATAAAAGAAGTAGGATTATTATTTAGTTAAGCATGCATATACCCTTAAAAAAAGAAGCCACATGATTGAATGCCCTTTACATTACCTATATAATTATATACATACATGGGATTGAACTCAGCGGCGCTCTACCACTGAACCACAATCCAAGTCCTTTCACTTTTTGAGACAGGATCTCACTAAATTGCTAAGGCTGGCCAAGACCTTGTCATCCCTCTGCCTCAGCCTCCCAAGCCACTGGTATCATATATGCTAATACCTCCACGATGCCCGATTCTTGTCTTTGCTGGATTTTTTTCCTCCATCTCATTGCTGCGAGTGCTAGTCTCCGTTGCTGTACACTGATGCCAGTCAAAACATCGAGTATGGAACTACTTCCCCATTCATAGTCTTCTTCCTAGAGAATGAATCCAATATACTTTTGAGCTCCTAAGCCCAGGGAGTCTGTGCTGCAGACAGGACATGTGTTTCTGACCCCAAGAAGCCTTCAATCAGCGAAGATTAAAGCTAAACACTGAATTGTTATAATCTGTTTTTTTTCTTCCCCTCCTTCTTCTTTTGGTGGTACTAGGGATTGAACCCAGGATCTTCTACATGCTAAGAAAGTGTCCTACCACCGAGTTACATTCCCAGCCCATCTGAATTATTATAAATACAGAGAACAGTTAAGTAAATATTTTGTGAGCAGGGGGTAGGTAAATACTCTTGAGTCAAATGTATCCTAGCTTTTAATAAAATCAGAAAAGATATTGCACTCATTTCTAAGAAACATAACTACACCTTGGCAATTGGCAATATTTAGGTTATTGGGCTTCACTTGATGTAAGAGTTACTTTGTACAAGGATAGTCTCAGAGGAGCATGTAATGAGAACTTGATTATCTGTCTGTAGAAAAGATCCCTAAGAGGCTCTTATTGAAAACTTCAAAAACTACATAGTAGATGCTATGGTGATGGCCAGTTTTCAATAATTAGTTTAATGGGCAAGTAATAAAGATAAAAACTTACAATGAAATAATCTTAAAACTTTCTTATTTTATTTCAAAAGAAAAAAAATGACATTCAAATTAAATAATTCAAAAGTGAATAAAGCTAGATGTGGTGTTGCATGCTTGTAATTCTAGCAACTCAGGAGACTAAGGCAGGAAGATCAGAGTTCAAAGGTAGCCTCAGCAACTTAGCAAGGCCATGTCTCAAAAAAATAAATAAGGCTGGGAACGTGGCTCAGTGGTACAGTGCCCCTGGGTTCAATCCCCAGTATCAAACAAACAAAATAAACTGAATATGGCTGTATAGTATCTTTTTTCTTTTTTTGCTTTGTTACCAAAAACCTCATAAAGGTGATACAATCTAACTGGCCATGCGTGGTGTTCTTTCTCTCTTCTGGTCCTGGGGACTGAACCAAGAGGCACTCTAACTGAGCTACATCACTAGGCCTTTTTATTTTTTGATAAGGTCTTGCTGAGTTGCTTAAACTGGTCTTGAACTTGTGGTGATCCTACCTCAGTTTCCCAAATTGCTGAGATTACAGGTATGTGCCAGCACGCCTGGCTCACATGTGGTTATTTTAATTACGTGTATGGTTGATGTATATACTGGGATCTCTACCCCTGACCCTGGCCTGAGGACTGAACCCAGGGCTGCTCTACCACTAAGCCACATCCTCAGCTCTTTTTATTTTTAAAAAGGGTACTGCTAAATTGCTGAAGCTGGCCTCTAATTTGAGACCCTCCTGCCTCAGCCTCCAAGTCACTGGAATTACAGGCACATAACATAGCACCCAACTGAAACCTTAAGATATTCAAGAAAAACAAATCTTCACAAGAACATGAATATACACACCTGCACGAAGTGTCCTGCAGTCCTGCATGCTTCCAGGTAGGAACGATGAAGCACCCACTTCCCAGCTGCCACGGAGGCCAAATACTTCTCATTTCGAAGTGGCTGCCCCACAACAATGTGTGTACAGCTGGGATCAAAGCACTGCTTCTCTATCACCAGCCCACCTTTGTGAAGAGAAATTGTTTGCATTTTTATTCTTCTTTCTAGGAAAAAATGTAATCTCAACTCTACATAAAAATTTATAAATAAAATGCACTCAACTATTTAATTCACACAACTCTGACATTAATATATATATATTGAAATTCACTATAAAAATTTGAATGCAAAAGCAGTTAAAATAGTAAAATTAATACACACACATTAGCCACCTAGGTTCTAAAATTATCAAAACCTCACCATCCTTACTTCAATCTTCTTTCTGCAATGCTGGGGAATCTAGCTGGGCATGTGCTCTACCACACTAAACTATTTTCCTATCCCCAGTATTTATTTATTTCTTTTTTTAACTCTGTGAGTTGGCAGAGTTTTACTATGATGCCATGTGAGTTGGCAGAGTTTCAGAAAGTGAAGGCACAGAGAAGAGTATTTCTCTCTTTTTTTTTTTTAAAGAGAGAATTTTCTTTTAATATTTTTTTTTTTTTTTTAGTTTTGGGTGGACACAACATCTTTATTTTATTTTTATGTGGTGCTGAGGATCGAACCCAGCACCCCATGCATGCCAGGCGAGCGCACTACCAACTGAGCCACATCCCCAGCACCCTCAGTATTTCTTAATGTTCTCTTTCCATGTCAAGCTGTCAGACTAAGTTCTCTTATTAAAATGTAAAATGTACATCAAAGCTTTAATATAAAAAATGTAAAACATTTCATTACATGCTAAATGACACTATTTCACATATACTAGTGCAAATAAAATTACATTTAATCTCTACTGTTTCATTTTATTTTTTAAGTGTGGCTACTAGAAAATATAAAATGACATGTGGGTTCATGCTATATTCCCAGTGTGCTGCTATAACACACCAGGTTCCTCTCCTGGACTGCTTCCAGATGTCAGATGGGCAGCCCAACAACCAGGGGGGAAACTCGGGGCAAGAAGTCTTCACTCGATGTTACACTTTCAACTTCACCTCAGTGTGGTTTTATTTATACTGTAGGCCTGTAATTTAATTGATTTTGTCCAAGTTTTCATCAATAAATGCTCTAGTGCAGATTCTTAAGTGTTGGTTTCAATTTAAACCTTTAGGCCCATGATCTAGTGACTTTAGATTCAGATCAGTTAATAAAATCAAAGCTCTAATGCTCACCTATAGCCTCCAACAGACTACCCATACTTTTTCTCAACTTCTACATCATGATATCAATATTGACAACATCTGACTTCCAACTAAGGTAATTATAATGGGATAGTTTTAATTTAAATATTGGTACCTAGTTTTTCAATCAGATGACAATAATCAATACGTTCCTGAGGGTTCAGTGACGACAGCTGAAATATGTATTTTTTTAATTCTTCACGACTCTCCTCTGTCGCTATAATCTGGAATATAAGAATTTTATTTTAGAAAAAATTAACAAAAATTATCAGATACAGTTATTCTTACATTGACATTGTTCTTAGTCTTCCAAGTTATCAAATACACAAACAGTACAATGCAATAAAATGCAGTTTTCACCATTTGATGAACCTTTGATATCGATATCAATAAATTCCTACTATAACACAACAGCAAAATCCAAAAACCATGTCACTACAATAGGATCAACCTACCTTTTCTCCAGGGTGTGGGGCCACAGGTGGATTGGCTAGAGGGAAGGCGATGCTTGGGGCTTGAGGAGTAGGGATCAGGTGACTGTCTTTTGTTGGAGTTTCCAGTTCTTCAGAGTTGGGGTGTTTGGGGGCTTCAGTCCCATGTCCATTTCCAGGATCACTGACAGCTGAGGGCAATAAAATGCTGTAATGTGATACTGCCCAACACACTTTTCCTCTGCCTTGGCTGAAATCAGATTAAACACAAACTCTGCAATGTAAAAAGTACATGCAAAAGAAAATATCCTATTTCTAGATCTTATAAATAAATGCAATTAATGCTTTAAAGGGCGTATGTATTATCTGGGTTTCTCCAACCCTTTCTTTAAATACTAAACTTACATCAGTAAAATGCAACCCAAATTCATAAAATGAAAGCAATTTTACATTTGAAGAAAATCACAGGCAGAGACAAATCAACAAGTCTAGTTTAGGGACATGGTCATAGTGTATGAAAAAGAAAAGGGAAAGATGATAGGAAGCATTTCATTTTCAAGGTAAAGCTCAAAGAAGAAAAATGCTTTACCCTGTTCAGCAATTTCTGAACCACGTAAAGGCTCTTGAAAAGAAGAATCCTCCAAATTTTTAATGTCAACCTGAAGCTCAGAGTACTGTGTGGGACAACTAGGCCATTGCAAATTGCTGGCAAGCCTTGCTCTCTCCTCTCTTGCCGTAGGGTCATCCCAAATGATCTGTTCATTTTGGGAGGGCTCTGTGTTGACATCAGGTACTATCTGTCGAGACTGCCTACAAAATAAAAGTGACAATTTTAAATAATGAATAGTCAAAAAACAAAATCCAAAACACAAACTCCCTGAGATTATAACACTGTGGTTCACATTATGTGACCACCCTCAAGCATCAGACAGGCACTTGATAATAGTTACTGAAAAAATGAGCCTAGGGAAATTCTTTTTTCTTTTTAAATGTTTCTACCAGAAATTTAAACACATATTTTGACCAAATACCTATAGATACAAATGTCAAAGGCAATTTCAATAGTAAGAATTTTTTTTAATTAAAAAAATGATTACTATATTTGAACATGGGATTTCTCTTAATTATATAGGTTAAGGAAACATGGTCATGTATAGAAAACTGGTTACTCTGCTTAACAGTTTTGCAGTGCAGGAAACCAAACCCCAGGCCTCATGCGTGCCAGGCAAGCACTCTATCTCTAAGCTAACAAATGTACTTTTAAAAATTGAAATTATAGGAACTATAATTAAATGGGAAGCTTACTATAAAGGTTGCCTCCTAAGAAGGTATTTTGATCAAACTTCCCAGAGTAGAAGGCAGACCAACCATTTACTAAATTATAAAGCACATTTTATGGTAAAATCATAATCATTCCATCTGAGAGTAAACAGAATCCTAGCTACATTTTTCATACATATATATTCTCAGTAAAAACAGTTTATCCAAACATAGTATCCCCAAAGTCCCTTTGCCTCAAAAACAAAGAAGACAGCTTTTTATTCAGAGTATATTTATTTACTGACTTGGCATAGGATTTGGGTTTGCTTAATGACAAAACATGATCTGCAGTATATTAAAAAGCCATTTATTCATTATTTAAAGACTTGGCCTCATGAAATAAATAGTATAAGATAAATGAATAGTTTCATTAATCAATTAGATAATACAATTCCATAACATTCATCCTACAGTTACAGATTTTTGCTCTATCTGGAAAAGGTTAGCTATGCTACTGAATTTAAATAGAACTGCCCTAAGAACTACAATCACCTTTCTAGAAAACAAATTCATAAGGAGTAGAAATTGCAAGCATAGCTCTGATAAAGAGCTGGGCATGGTGGCTCACACCTGTAAGCCCAGCAGCTCAGGAGGCTAAGGCAGGAGGATTGCAAGTTCAAAGCCAGCCTCAGCAAATTACCAAAGACTAAGCAACTTTGGAAGACCCTAAATAAAAAATCCAAAAAAAATTTTTTAAAGGGGGCAGGGATGTGGCTTAGTGGTTAAGCATCCCTGGGTTCAATGCACTGGTACCCACTCCCCACGGCACACACAAAGCTCTAATAAGAAATAACTATTTAGGGCTAGAGGTGTAGATCAATGGTAGAATGATTGTGTGACATAAATGATGAAGCCCTGGGTTTGATCCCAGGACTACCACCAAAAAGCAAAATGAAACAAAACAAAAACCCCAAACCAAAACCAACCAACAGAAAACATTTAATACTGTTTAATACTAAAGAGGAGACTGACTGCCTAGTGATTCCACTTTCAAACTGAACTTAAAAGTCATTTCTGTCTTAGGGGAGGCAATAAAAAGCATTAATTGTGGTCTCCCTGAAGCCAGTGCTTGCTGGGACTAACCTCTGTGCTGGCTTCCTGCCTTCAAATAAGAATTCTCAATTCTTAAATTGCTTCGAGTGAGGAAGGGAAAGAGGGGAACACTAGGAAGGAAGGAGAAAAACCTAGGCAGCAGAAGCCAAAGCCAACAGATAACAGAATATGACACATTTGTGATAAACAGGACTAGAAATACAATTCTTTTATTGGTCTTGATTTTCTAAACTTCTGCTTTATCACTAATTTTAAAACAAAAAGGCAAAATTAGCTTAACTCTTTCATGAGTCACCAGGTACCTAAATGAGGACCTCCCTTTCTCTCAAGTCACCAAATCTTTCTGCCCTCAATGACAGGCACACACCTCAGCGCCTCTAGGACTCTACTTCGTCCACTTCGAGCGGAACGCGTGCTGTCAGGGGTTGAGGAGGCACTGTTACAGCCACTTCTTGAAAGGGAAGTCCTCTGTCCCTGGGGTTTCACGATGGAGGTGGCAGACATGATCTCCTGCAGTTGCTTTTGGAAATTTTCTCTCATCTCCAAGGTCTGTGTGAGAACTTGAAACAAACAAGTACACCAGTCAAGGTCAATTTCCCTATCTATCACATCCCACAATATTCTGTCTAGATCCAGAAAGAACCAGAATTAGAAGTAGAGCCTAAAGATGGGTCTGAATTGCTATGATCTTATTATAAAACTTTAATGGATGAGGAGTTGCTTCTCATGAATGATCAAAGAAGTAGCTTCCTGAGATGAAATCTACTCTGGTGATGTGAACATTGGGAAGACTGGCTCCAGTTCTGAAGAAGTTCTACTCTGGGTAAAAAGGAATCAAAAACATCATGTTACAGAGAAATATTTCATGAAACAAAACAAAAAACAAAAACAAACAAAAAAATCATTATGGCAAACTTCACTGCTGTGTTATTTTAAGAGATTGCCAGAGTCAACCAGAGCTTTAGCCACCACCATCCAGAGCATCATCAGAGGCAAGACCTTCTCTCAACAAGATTATATCTTGCCAAAGATTCAGATGATCAGTAGCATTTTTTGCAATAATGTATTTTTAAATTATAGAGTACACACTGTTTTTGTTTTTTAAATTTTTTGCAGTTGTGTGGATGGACAGAATGCCTTTAATTTTATTTGCTTATTTTTATGTGGTGGTGCTGAGGATCAAACCTAGTGCCTCACACATGCTAGGCAAGTGCAGGCAAGTGCTCTGCTGCTGAGCTACGGCCCCAGCCCCAACACATTGTTTTTTAAAAGACATAATGCTTTTGCACAGTTTACAGATTTCAATATAATGTAAACATAACTTTCATAAGTACTGAGAAACAAAAAAGTCCATTTGCTCACTTTATTGAAACATTTGGTTATTTCAGGAGTCTGGAGCCAAGCCTGCAATATCTCCAAGATATACCTGTACTAAGATAACAAGGCCCTAAGGTGAACCATTAAACAAAAAGAAAAGCATGTGGAATAGTCCAAACTTATGCATTTTAAAAAGTGAGAGAAAGAAAACACACACACACACACACACACACACACACACACACACATATTTATTTATTTATTTATAATTGTATACGCATGCAGAAAACAGCACTAGAAGAATACATAAGAAACTAGTACCAAGCCGTGCACGGGGCACATGCCTATAATCGCAGTGGCTCAAGAGGCTGAGACAGGAAGATCTCGAGTTCAAAGCCAACCTCAGAAATGGCGAGGGGCTAAGCAACTCAGTGAGACCCTGTCTCTAAATAAAATACAAACTAGGGCTGGGGATATGGCTCAGTGTTTGAGTGAGTTTAAATCCCAGTACCAAAAAACAAACAAACCAAAACTGGTAACAAAAGGAAACAAGGGCAGGATAAACTCTTCCAGACCTTTAAAATCATATGTCAAGTATACTGTACACGTAATAAAACTGTTTGGAAGTCACTGAAAAAACTTGAACCAAAGAGCATTTTTGGGGGGTTACTGGGGACTGAACTTGAGATGCTTTACCACTGAGCTATATTCCCACTACTTTTTACTTTTTAAAGACAAGGTCTAAGTTGCTTAGGGCCTTGCTAAATTGTTAAAGCTAGCCTCAAATTTGTGATCCTCCTGCCTCAGTCTCCTGAGTCACTGGTTATACACGCATATGACACTGCTTCTGATAAAGCACAAATTTTTAAAAAATCATCAATTGCCTGTAATCCCACCAACTGTGGAGGCTGAGATAAGAGGATTCCAAGTTTAAGGCCAGCCTCGGCAATTTAGTGAGACCCTGTCGCCAACTAAAAAACAAGAAGGGCTGGGGATGTAGTTCACTGGTAGTGTCCCTGTGTTCAATCCCCAGGACAAGAAAGGAAAACAAACAACTCTTCCTATGTTTAATGGAACAATTATATCACACTGACTCTGTAAAATACCTGGTTCCATTCCACAAGTCTCACTCTTAAATCACTTAAACTTCATCAAATGGCATAGAATCTTGACTTAATCTTCAAATACACACACAAACATGCTTTGCCAGTATTCAGTAACAAAAAACAACTGTGTCAAACATATGTATTTTTAACCTTTTCTTTTTGTAATTTAAAAAGCTTTACCTCCTTTAGAATCATTCTTTTCATTTCCATCTGACAGTGCTGATTCTTCATTACTGGTGGTCATGTTTTCTGTACCATTTTCTTCTACAGGCAAATGATCTGGCTGTTTAAAGAGAGAAATTATAATTGCTCAAATGAAGCCACTGGATAAGGTTCCACAGCAATCTATGATTACATATACAGCTTAGAGTGGGATGTACTGTGCACACCTACCTCTTCATCCTCTGCTGCAGAGACAGCTGAGGGCACTCGGCTGTTACAAAGTCTGCCATCTTGCACGGTACTGATATCCAGGCTCATTTTGGGATTATAAGTATGTGGATAAAGAGATTCAGGAAGACGCTTATATTCCTGGGCACACTGCAATACAATAGTGTTTTGAAACAGAATTGACTGAAAGATGTTAAGGAGGAAAAGAACAACCAATACATCCTGTGGTAAGATGGTAAAAGTTCACAATATTACAGTTAAAAAGAAAGCAATTTATGGCTGGGCACATGCCTGTAATCTCAGCAATTTAGGAGGTTGAGGCAGGAGGATCACAAGTTCAAGCCAGCCTCAGCAACTTAGTAAGACCCTGTTTCAAAATAAAAAAATTAAAAGGACTGAGGATATAGCTCAGTGGTTAAGTGCCCCTTAAGAAGGGGTAGGAGGGAGAGTTTACAGTGAAAAAGAAAAATTGTCCTTTTTATTGGTGCTGGGAATTGAACCCAGAGCCCTGTGTGTGTGAGGCAAACCCTCTACCAACTGAGCTATCCCCAGCCAAACTGTCCTTTTTAAATGTCATGGCCACTAAAGTATAAAATCTAATTCTATTTCTGTGCTTTTGCTGAGGTATCAATTACTTCAGGGAATACAAAGAAAGGAAAGGAAAAAGAGGGTTCTAAATTGTATTACTCTGTTAAATTAGTTGCTCTTAAATTATTATAAAATTTTCATACACACACACACACATATATATACACACATTTGGAGTGGGGGCAATCCTAGGAACAGAATTGATGCAGAGTGATTCTATTCTACCCTTGCCTTGCACATGGAGGTAAGTGCTCCACCACTGAGTTATACCCCAACCCCTTTGATCTTTTGAGATGGGGGAGGACTCCTAAGTTGCCCAGGCTTGCCTAGAATCTGTGAACCTCCTGCCTCAGCCTCCCAGGTAGCTGGGATTACATGTGTGTACCACCAGGTTCAACTTATTCATACTATTTTTAACTAGTGAAAAGAATCAGAATAGAAAGAGTACCCATCGAAGATTTGTTAAATAATAAGGCAATAAAAATCAAATAAAAATAAAAAAGTTTTTGATGCCAAAGAGATGAAATATGTATTGTGGTCTGGACTTCAGTGTCCCAAAAGGTGGATGTGTTAAGAGGCTTGGTCCCCAGCTTAGATCTATTGAGAAGTGATGAAAACTTTAAGAGCTGGGGCCTAATGGGAGGTCTTTGGTGGGGAGTAAGGGGTATGCCCTCAAAAGGGAGAGTGGGACTCCAACTCCTTTCTTTTTCTTTTACTTTCTCTTTTTTTGGCTACTGGGGATTGAACTCAGGGACACTCAACCACTGAGCCATATCCCCAGCCCTATTCTGTATTTTATTTAGAGACTGGGTCTCACTTGAGTTGCTTAGCCCCTCATTTTTGCTGAGGCTGGCTTTGAACTCACCATCAGCCTCTTGAACCGCTGGGATTACAGGTCTGGACCTCTGTGCTTGGCTTCTCTTTCACTTTCTGGCTATGAGGTGAGTGGTTCTGCTCTAACACATGCTCTTGCTATGACATGCTGCCACACACAGCTTACCAAGATTACCAAACTTGTTTACAGACATGGAAACTGTTTTGTACTCTGAAATGTTTGTAAATACATTTTTTTTGGGGGGGGGAGTAGTTAGGGATACCATAAAGCATTGCTTACTTCTAAAAGCCAGTGCTCAGAAACAATGTGTATTCCTCTTTCTTTTATAGACTTATACTCTCGATTACTGTCATTTGGTCGGCCTTGATAGATGAAATGAGTTACCGTGTCATCAAAACTCCACCTGAAACAGTCAAATGCAACAAAGCAAATAACTAAAAGAAATATCCCATTAGTTCAAGGTGATCATTATTCACTATGAGCAGAATATTCTAACCAGCAGAAAATTCTCAGAACTAAAGTAAGCAAGAACATTAAAACTTTAACTTTTAACAAATTTTATGTTATCTCTAGCTATATAAATATGGAGAAATATTTAGAAGAACATCCTTTAAAATATTACTGTATGCTGGGTGCGGTGGTACCCACCTATAATCCCAGCAACACAGGGGGTTGAGGCAAGAAGATCCCAAGTTTGAGGGCAGCCTTAACAACTTAGGGAGACCCACCTCAAAATAAAAAATGAGGACTAGGGATGTAGCACAGTGGTAAAGTGCCTGAGGTTCAATCCCTAGTACTAGAAATAAAATATATTAGTCTATACTTTTCTAATTGTTTCAATTTTGTTGTCATAATATGTATCACTTTATAGTAGCCATAAAGGTATTTTCAAATTCATAAAATGTTGCAAAACATCCAAGTCTGTCTTCCAGTTGTTAGACTTCACTCTTCACTGTGCATCTGCTTTATGCCTCACAACAGATGACGTACTCTTCCTACTTCTCAAAAATCCTAAAATATTGGAGGAACACAGTAAAATAACTTGTTCAAGAATATTCAATAAGTGGTAGAGTCAGGTTTGACTTCAAAATCCTTGCTCTTAACTCTTGTGCCACACTAAAATCTCCCGATTCTCCTAATTTGGGAAAATCTACAAAACAGTCATCTTTCAAAAGCTTAAGTAAAAACCAAAGAGAAAATACAAATTGGGTTTCTAAATACAATCACCAAAATAAATTCATGGACGCTTGATATTTTCCATTTCCTAAATAAGAAATCTCTGAATCTTTTAAAATAGCCAAGTTAAGCAAATTAAGTAGTGTTTCTCTCTAAATGATAAGCATCTCTCTTTCCTACTGATCACAGACACACATCTTCCCTAATTCAATTATAAGTGCTCCTAGCAACAACCTCTAATTCTGCTGTAGTGGTAATTAATTATATATATTTAAAAATATTTAGCTGGGCATAATGGCATACAATTGTAATCTCAGCTACTTGGGAGGCCGAGGCAGAAGGATCACAAGCTGGAGGCCAGCCTGGAAATTTAGCAAACTGTGTCTCAAAAGAAAATTTTAAAAAGGGTTGGGGCAGGGTTTAGCTTAGTGATATAATGCTTGCCTAGCATGGATAAGGACCACTATTTAATCACTAGTATGTCAGCAGAGGGAGAAACAGTAAAACAAAAATATTTAAATAAACTATCAAGATAATTCAGAAAAAACAGAATCAATCATCTTGGGTTTACCATTCAACTCCACTGTGATAATACAGAAACTATGAGTTTTAGTCCTCAGAGGCCCTTTAAGAAAGAACAAGTAGTATAGATAGTTCCTATCATTTTTTTTTTTAAACAGGCCAGATGGTAAACACTTTAAGCTTTACAGGCAAATGTCTTTTGCAACTACTCAACTCTTGCCTTGTTATGTGAAAGCAGTCAATGATCACTTACAAATTAACAGGCATTGCTATGCTTCAATGAAGCTTTACTACAAAAACCCAGATGATGGGTCACTGACCCTTGGTCTAGACCAGTATTTCCACTGACACTCATGCCATTTGTACCTGGGACCTGTCAGCAGGTGCTACTTTAAGAGATATGAAGAAAAACTGCGGTTGTTACAATAATATATTCATATGCTGGAGGGTGCTAGTATTTTATGGGGGGTAAGGAACAGGAGGATGCAGGGATACTAGAATTCTGATGAATAATTACGTACACAATTATTCCATATTCTGTATGATTTGTAATGTCTCCACAAAATCATATAGGCAAAATTGGTTGTTTATAATTAGATGAAATCTAGAATGTTTTTAAGTTATGCTCTCTATATAAATAAGTTATTTTCTGCAGTTTTAACTAAAATTAATTCAACTGAACAGTTAAATTCTGTTTAGGAATTTCAGCAATAAATTTTATCAGTTTTTTTAATACTGAGAGGGACTAACATTTCAAATCTTATAAAATAAAAATATATCAACAGGTAAACAACATAATAGATAATACAAATAATAAACAAGAAAGTTCTACTACTTCACAAGATGTATTAAATACTAAGAAGCTTGTAATATTACAGATAAACTTAAAAAAAATTTTTTTAGTTGTAGGTGGACACAACACTTTTATTTATTTATTTATTTATTTATTTATTTTTTACGTGGTGCTGAGAATTGAACTCAGTGCCTCACACATACTAGGCAAGTGCTCTACCATTGAGCTACAACCCCAGTCCCCTATTACAGGTAAATTTTATTTTTATATTCTCCTGACTTAATTCTTTATCAAATGGGAAACTAATTAAAAGAAGAAGATAAAACTAATAATCATATTCTTCAAATTATTTGTCATTTATAAAACCAACCACTACCCATGAGTGGATGAACACAAATGATCAACAAAGCCAGCACAACAGTAGCTGGGACAGTTAAGAGTCTCTTAGTCCCTGACACTCAGGTTATTTGTACTTGGGACCTGTCTCTAGCTTAAGACTTTTAGGTTGAAGGCACATCTGACAGCTTAGTCTCCAAATTCCTAAAAATGACACCAATTAGCCAGGCCTCAGCCCCAGCTACTGGGGTGACTGACACAGGAGGGTCACTTGAGCCCAGAGTTTGAGGCAAGCCAGGACAACATAATAAATCTCTCTCTCTCTCTCTCTTTTTGTTTTTTGCATTGCTGGGTTTGAACCCAGGCCTCCTCCATGGTGGGCAAGCACTCCACAACTGAGGTACATGCCAGCCCAAGAACCTATCTCTTAAGAAGGAAAAAAGATACAAGGGGGGGGGGGCGGGTACCAGGGATTGAACTCAAGGGTTCTTGACCACTGAGCCAACCCTAACCCTATTATATATTTTATTTAGAGACAGGGTCTCACTGAGTTGCTGAGCGCCCAGTTGCTGAGGCTGGCTTTAAACTTGCACTCCTATTGCCTCATCCTCTGGAGCCGCTAGGATAACAGGTGTGCGCTACGAAGCCTGGCTTGAAAGTAGGAATTCTTTAAAACTGTACTGATCATTCATGTATCCCAAGTTTCTATTACTATTATAAGTGACACAAAACAGGTTCTGAAAAATTTGTCTAATATCTCTAAAAAATATACATGGATGCTATTGCTTTTTCTACCCCTATACCCCTCCCTTCCCCTCCCTCCCTTTTCCCCTTTGCCCTATCTGGAGTTCATATCATTACCCTAAGTACATGTATGAAGACCTAAAGGATGTGACTCTACTTTGTGTACAACCAGAGATATGAGAAATTGTGCTCTATATGTATAATATGAATCATGATGCATTCTGTTGTCATATATAACAAATCAAAATTTAAAAATATTTTTTTTAAAGAGAGTGAGAGAGGAGAGAGAGAGAGAGAGAGAGAGAGAGAGAGAGAGAGAGAGAGAGAGAGAATTTTTAATATTTATTTCTTAGTTCTCGGCGGACACAACATCTTTGTTGGTATGTGGTGCTGAGGATCGAACCCGGGCCGCACGCGTGCCAGACGAGCGCGCTACCGCCTGAGCCACATTCTCAGCCCCAAAATTTAAAAATACATATACATGGAAGAATGAATTGATATGTGAGATGATATTTTCAAAAGATGTGGAAATTTGAAAGTCATTTTGTAAATGTGACTGAAAGGTGAAATAAACATTTTCTTGTAAATACTTATGATAACTTTTAGAATCCCTCATAAACACAGTCCATGTCATCACCAAAAACAAAGATGGGCAACTACCTGTAATCTGCTCCTAGGGAGGCAGCAATTCCATTTAGTTCATTCTGCTTCTTATTGAGCTTTTTACTAACATACACCACAACTTTGTGAAGGGGTTTTGGAGTGTCTTCCTATATGTAAAAGATAAAAGAAAATATCAGCCACTATTATTCTAAACATTTTAGTTTAAAACCTCTAGTTGATAATAAAACTAAGTCTACCTTCTTTGATTGGGCATCCTTCAGTTGAGGGCTGGCAGAAAGAGCAACTGAATTGCGAGAACTATTTGCTAAAGCAAGTTTCAAGTTTCTGACAATGACTTCTGAGAGTGGTGTACTCAGTTTCCTCTTCTGTTGGCTGGGACCTCCTGGAGTTTCCAAGGCTGCAAGTGCATCCTACATATATACAGAAAAGGGAATGTTAAAGAAGAAGAGAGAAAGGAAGAAAGAGCAAAGACAAAGAGAAAAAGGAGAATAGAAGGATAAAAAGAAAAACTAAGAAAAAAAGGACTTTTTCAAGTAAAATGAATTCACAAACACTGACATTCTCATGAGCAAAGTGTGAGAATGTTTCCAAACATGCCTGACAGTACAGAACATAATCACACTTTTCTCTTTTTTCAGTAAGATGTGGTCTTATGTGTGACCCGGTCTGGCCTCAAACTCCTGGACTCATGAAATCCTCCTGCTTCAGCCTTACATGTAGCTGGGTCTACAAGCACATGCCACCCACACCTGGCTTAGATTTTTCTTGTTTTTTTTTTCCAGTCTAATAGGTTACACAATTTTATCTGTATGCTTTAATTTTCACTTTTTATACTTACTAAGGTTAAATATATTTATGCATGCATAATTTAATTTTTTGTGAGAACTATCTTAGCCCATTTTTCTATTGGGTTGTTAGTCTTTTTAATATTCACATATATGAATACATTGTCACATTCCTTCATGTTCATTTATAAGTGTATATATCTATTGTGATATACTTCCCACATATTCAGTCCCAATTCATCATTTATCAAATTTTGCCATCTGCAAAAATTTTTAATGCTGTCAAATTCATGTGAATCTTTTATTTCCTTTGGGGCATATGTTAATTATTTTTAAAAAACTAACTCATGGTTCATTTTAGAATTATTATTATTATATTTTTTTAGTTGTAGTCAGACAAAATGCCTTTTATTTATTTTTTTATGTGGTGCTTAGGATTGAACCCAGTGCCTCACACATGCTAGGCAAGCACTCTACCACTGGGCCACAACCCCAGCCCTCATTTTAGAATTTTTTTGGCTTCATTTCTTGCATTTAAATATCTGTCTAAAATTTATTCTGATGTAAAGTCTGGGCTTTAATCTCAATTGTGTTTTCAGATGGCTGCTCTGTCTGATTTGAGCACCATCTTTTTTTTTTTTTTTTTTTTTCAAGAGAGAGTGAGAGAGGAGAGAGAGAGAGACAGAATTTTTAATATTTATCTTTTAGTTCTCGGTGAACACAACATCTTTGTTGGTATGTGGTGCTGAGGATCGAACCCGGGCCCCACACATGCCAGGCGAGCGCGCTATCGATTGAGCCACATCCCCAGCCCCTGAGCACTATCTTTATCACATAATAAATTTTCTAATCAACGGGGCATAATCTTGTACATTTGTTTAAGTATTCATGTGACAATAACATGCTGCTTTAATTACTACAATTTTATAGGTTTATAACCAGCAGGACCAATGGCTACCCTCAAGCCAGCCTCAGTAAAAGAGTGAGGCAGTAAGCAACTCAGTGAGATCCTGTCTCTAAATAAATTACAAAATAGGGCTGGGGATGGGAATGTGGCTTAGTGGTTGAGTGCCCAAATTCAATCCCCAGTACTCATCCCCCAAAAAACTGACAAATAATAAAAGAAAAGGGTGATTTAAGGGTACTTTATAAGGTATTAATATAAAAATAACCAGGAGAAGAAGAAAAAAATCTACCCTAAATACCAAAAGGAAAAATAGAAAGGTCATGCCAAGCAAAGACACACAATATGTATGCATAATCATGAATTACATCAAATTATGACAACTAAGATCAAGTAAGTCATCTTGAACATGAATAGGCTTAACTTACCTAATTAGAAGATTTTTAAATTGGCTATAAAGCAAAACCTAACTAAGTCAGAGGAGATATGCAAGCAATCCAAAAATGCATATTTATTTATGAGGCAAATGTAAAACGGGAACAGGGAATGAAATCCTAATATCAAAGTTGATTTCTATAATATTGAAAGCCACATTGCACATTCCAACTAACATAATTTATGAATTCTATGTATCAAAAAATACAGCAACTATTTATTTAAAACAAAACCAGGGGCCGGGATTGTGGCTCATTGGTAGAGTTCTCGTCTAGCACATGCGAGGCCCTGGGTCGATCCTCAGCACCACATAAATATAAAAACAAAATAAAGGTATTGTGTCCAACTACTTCTAAAAAATAAATTTTTTTAATAAAAAATTAAACAAAAACCAGATGAGATTCCAAAAGAAACAAAAATAGAAGAAACTTGAAAACATTTCTGTGTATGAAATAAACAAATGGGAAAGGAAATAAAAGATTTAAACAATATAATCAATAATTTAGATCTCTGGATATATATGATATGTATCAAACACTGTATCTTTACATAGAGAATGTACCATCTTCTCAAAAATCTATCAAACACCAGAGCACAAAAAGCAGAGTAAGTTCTGTGAAATAAAATATTACAAATAATACTCTGAACACAATGTAAAAGAAACAGCAATTAAGTAAGGACAGTGGCACAAGCCTGTAACCCCAGTGACTAGGGAGGCTAAGGCAAGAGGATCGCAAGTTCAAGGAAAGCCTCAGCAACTTAGAGCTTGTCTCAAAAGAAAAATATAAAAGGGCTAGGGACATAGCTCAGTGATAAAGTATCCCTTAGTTCAATCCCCAGTACCAGCCCTCCTCCCCAAAAAAAGATCAAGCAAAGTAAGTCCTTTCATCTGGAAATTAAAAAACTTTATATACATTCAAAATACTACATGTTAGAAGAGTACATGTACTTTTTGTGCTATTTTAACTTCTGTAAAATTAGAAATTATTTCCAAGTAAAAAACTGGAAAACAAAACAATTGATGATATTAGGTATTTGCAAGAATGAGCTATACTGAATACTGGCAATACCCCATTGGTGAAAGGATTATCTGGTAAAACCACTTTGGCAATTTGTCATTTTCTACTAAAACTGAAATGTAGTCCAGCAACTTCACTTCTAGGTATATACCAAATAACACACACACACACACACACACACACACACACGAATGTTCACAATAACATCATTTTGCAAGATATTACAAATTATTATTTTGTAAAAACCTAGTAATCACCTACCCTTCATTACCAGTATGCTGGAAATGTAAATTGTGCATGACCACACAATGGACTAAATAAACAAACTACAGCTACACCAATAGCATGGACAAATCTCCTAAATGGAGGATGAACAAAAACAATAAAACAGACTGAAAAGAATACATGCTACCATGCCACTTATTTAAAAGTGAAAACAAGCATAACACAACTATAGTGTGAAAAGCCAGGAATGCCACCTCTGGAAAGGAAGCGGCAGTGGGAAGGGAGCATGAGGAATGTTCTGTGGTGTTGTCAAGGGTGTGTATTTGAACATGGATGGAAACTTCCCCATTGTTAGCACTGGTATTTCATTTAGCAACACATTACTATGTATTTTGGATGTATATCAACTCAACAATTAAGTTTAAATAAGAGGTGGGTCTTTTGTTTTGCTGTCTGTGAGGACTGATAAATGTCCGTTTTCTTGTTTGTGATCATTCCATAGGCCCTTTTCGTGTTTTGAGTCAAGAATTCAATATATTCAATAAATTACATCAGTTTGGCAAAGCAATGCACGTAATCCATTTCTTTAGTTTATGTATCACCAAAAAAGGAAAAGAGAAGAGGAAATACTGCTAAATAAACTATGGGTCTAAACAATGAAAACTCTTTTGTGTTTTGTACCATTTTAAGTCTATTTCAGAACTACAAAGCTTTTACACAAGGAACCTATAAAAGAATTTTGATTATTTTCTTGCCTTCTAATATTATTTCATTTAGTCTTCAAAAGTTCTGTGAGCTGGGAGACTGTGGAGATTATCTGGATTCACTCCATTATTTTACAGGAAGGAATAATGAAGCCCAAAGAGGTTAACGTGCTGTAAAGGCAACAAGAGGCAAAGAAGAGACCTGACCTAGATCTCACAGTTCCCGAGACAGTAATTTCCCTCCATTTCTTAAGGTACAAGAAGAGTATAATCACAATTTACAACTTACAAAATATTACTTTAGAGGAGATTTCACATGAAAGCTTAAGATTTTAAGTCTGCTGTTAGACTTTTTTTTTTTTTTCATGTGGATCATTGAAACTGATCCAAGATAAAGATATAAATTAGTTTGGAGAATATCATAAAATTTAGATTGTTCATGTTTGAAAAATAAATTCTCAAACATGAACAATCTGTAAATTTTATGGTAAGTCTACGAGACACACTAAGAAAAAATTATTAAAATGTAGCTTATTCATTCCTTATGAGCAAAACAGCAAGAGATGAATGAGTATAATAATTTTGCAAAAGTTCCTGGATAAGGGCTGGGGATGTGGCTCAAGCAGTAGCGCGCCCGTCTGGCATGTGTGCGGCCTGGGTTCGATACTCAGCACCACATACCAACAAAGATGTTGTGTCTGCCGAAAACTAAGAAATAAAATATTAAAATTCTCATTCTCTCTCTCCTCACTCTCTCTTTAAAAAAAAAAAAAAAGTTCCTGGATAAAACAACCATAAGGCCAGGCACGATGTCGCACACCTATAATCCCAGCGGCTCAGGAGGCTGAGTCAGGAGCATTTCGAGTTCAAAGCAGCCTCAGCAAAAAGTAAGGTACTAAGCAACTCACTGAGACCCTGTCTCTAAATAAAACACAAAATAGGGCTGGGGATGTGGCTCAGTGCAGAGTCCCTGGGTTCAATTCCTGGTACCTCCCCCACCCCACCCCCAAAAGAAACCATAGGCAATACTTTGAACAGCCACTTAAAAGGCCAAAACTACTAAAGGAAAAATGAAGAAAATTATATTTGGAAAATAAAAAGAAACTATTTGAAAAGGTTACATTAGCCTTTGATTTCCAAATGAAGTTCTCAAAAGAGAACCAGACTACCCTGTTCAGATCAAAGAAACAGACTTAGCTTATCTCCTCTATAGAAACCAGCTAAAAGGTGATACTGCAGACATTTGGAGAATCCAAGCCTTAGGTGCACTAGTGCACAATACACAAAGTAGCATATATTTACATTATTGTAGTTTATAAAAATCATTTCATCATATTATTTCATTTGATCCTTAAAATAAACCTGTGGATTTTCAGAGCAAGTGCTATTATCCTCTTTGTATGAAAAGAGAAAATGAAACTCAGATAGGCTCAATGATCTGCCTGGAGCGAGAGATCTGGGACTTGAACCCGATGTCCTAGTTTCACCTCATGGCTCCATACCTGCCACCTAGGTATATATTAGGATTCAATACTATGTTCTGGAAAACTTACTACTGCAAACTTCAGAGGTGATATAGAATTTGGACCTTCACAAACTATAATACTGGTAACTTGGAGGCCACTTTCTTTACACCTTACCTTTACATCAAAGGAAGGCTTGAAGAGTTTGTCTTTGGACAGAAATTTTGATGGTGTGTCCAGGTGCAATGAGGGCTCCTTCTGCAGTGGCTGTTCTACTGCTGGTGAGGCCGAGAGCTGCCCAGCATGTTGTGAGATCACAGCATGGAAAGCTTTGCTCTGAAAGCGGTTCATATCCAGTGGTGTAATGGCTGTTCTTCTGTGAGTTTCCACATGTGTACAAGGATGTATAGGAGTATCTGGACTTGGATTCTCCCCATTTGTTATTTTAGTTTCCAATCTTTGTTCTAGAAAAGATACAAATATGAGCTACCCAATATCCCCCTTTTTCCTCTAAAGAGGTACACCAGAAGTAATTCTTTTTTTCATGTTAAGACTCAGGTAGTTTACTTTCCAAAAAGCAAACCAGATGATGTAGTAAAACACATGAGTTAGACAGGCACTCTAGTTAAAAACAAATAATTAATGAAAACAGATTTCTTATTTCATCTTGTTAGATATTAAAATGGTCTCAATAGCCCACTTGCCAAGAATATCAATGAATTATTAAACCAGTGAGTGGTAGAATAAAAAGAAAATCCAAGTTACATGTACTCAAGTTTTTAGAAAGTTCTTAATGAAATTTTCATATGACCTAAACTCATTTTTGCCTCAGTTGTAAGTTTCCAGTATGTCTGGGTAAATAAACAATGGGTCTGAGAGTTACCCAAGCTGCCAATTTGTTCCTGAAGTTTGCCCAGGGATGCCGCCATGAAGAGGCTATGTCCTCCCACCCCTGCCTCACGGCATCATTTTTCAACATGAAAAGTAGAAATGATCTTCCTAAAAGGCAGCTTTGGAACATTCATATCCTAGAAACCATTAAGTTGTAAAATACTCATATATGTGTGTACATATACATACATGTATATATACACACACACATGTACAAACACATATATGTGCATATATATGTACATAACAGAGAATAAAATAAAAGCATATATATGTATATATACAGAGAGAATAAAAGTATTAACCTTCTTCAGGTGAATTTTCAATCAGAAAGTGGCTTTCGTCTGCTCTCTTTCCCATTCTAGCAGTCTCCAAAAGCCAAGCTATAGTGACTGCTGGCAAATTCCACTTCTTTGCAGCTTCATATTTAGAACCAACAGGCTCTTTTAATATAAGATGTGTACTGGCAAACATGCCTTTCTTTGCATTGGATTTGCGAACAAAGAATTCTTGAACGCTGAAATTTATATTTAAAGAAAAGCAAATGGTCATACTCAAATAAGTCAACAAATTAAGAACAAAACTCTAATACAACAGTGTGGTTAGCGTTCATGTAGGTTTAAGAAAATACACACTGACTAAAGTTAGCCTTTTCTATTTTAAATTAAGCTAATTCCCTCACAAGTGCTAATTCTAGGATAAAAATGTACTATTACAATAATTAAAAACTTTTAAAAAATCATAAGCAAATTAGACTTTCAAAGGACAGAAAAATTACCTCCTTAGTCATTACCCACCCATCCTTTCATTCCAAAAGGATACACAGAACAAATAACAGGAGCAAACTATTAATAACACTATTTCTTTTTCTTTTAAATATTTATTTTTTAGGTGTAAATGGACACAACACAATGCCTTTATTTTTATGTGGTGCTGAGGAACAAACCCGGGTCCCGCCCGTACCAGGCGAGCACTCCACCACTAAGTCACAATCCTAGCCCCAATAACACTATCTCTTTATATCCACTATAACTTCCCAAAGCATTTTTATACATAATCTCAATTGATTTTCTCCATATTTATCAATTAGCAATATTTTAGAGACATGGAAAAAAATAAGAATCTAAGCAAGTAGATCAAGACAATAAATATTAAACAGGGAACAAGGGGAAGAAACAGAGGTCTATCATTTGAAATAGAAATGATTCGGTTTTTTTTCTGACCTGAATCTTTATGCTCTATTTATTGACTTTTAAGATTTTTTAATCTCCCAAATTTTTCCTAGTACTTTTATGGTTCTATTTTTTACTTTAACTCAGTGATCCATTATTTTGATGTGAAATATGGCTCCAAATTTATTGAATCCCATTTACTAAAGAAGTCATCTCTTCCTTAATAATTTGAATTTCACTTTTATCATAAATTGCTAGTTATGTTAGATCTATTGCTAGTCTTGTTAATTCACTGAGATTTTTGCTACTTAGAACTATGCTGTTATTTAGTGAGATATTACAAAATATAGTTTAATAACTGTTAGAGCTAGCCCCAATTTTTCTATTTCAGAATTTTTTACTTTCTTGCTTACTCATCTTTTCATAAGATTTTTAGAATTAGTTTGCTTAGTGTCCTCCCTAATTAAAAAAAAAAATATATATATATATTGTTGGTAGTGCCCCCTTATCCAGTTTCAGTTACCTAGTCAACAGCAACCTAACATATTACATGGAAAACTCCAGAAATCAACAATCCATACATTTTAAATTGTATACCATTTTGAAAGCATGATAAAATCTCATACTACCTCACTTTGTCCCACCCAGAGCATGAATTCATCCCTTTGTCCAGCATCTGACCATTAGTCACTTAGCAGTCACATCAGTTACTAGATGAACTTCGGTGGAATTGCAATTAGGTTCACATGTGAGAAACCACACTGACGTAATCTTAATTATGATATGTTGTTATGTTTTTTTCTATTTTCTTATTATTGTTCATCTCTTCCTTAAATCATACATTAACCTTAATCACAGATATTCTGTATAGGAAATAACATAGGTTTTTGTACTATCATAGTTTCAGGCATTCACTGGGGATCCTGGAATGTTTCCCTCAAGGACAAGAGAGAATTACTATACTTTTACTGGGATCATGTTAAATTTACACGTTAGTATAGATGATAACAGAAATCTCATGAATATTAGTCTTCCTTTCCAAGGACATGTAGATCTTTCCTTACTATTCAAGACTATTTTGTTTCCCTCAAGGGCATCTTATAAGTTTTCTGTAGCTCTTTCAAGTTTTATGTTAAACTTGCCTTTTTTTCCATTACCTCTTCTAACTGTTTATTTAAATAAAGGTCATTGATTTCTGTATATTAATTTTCTGCATAGCCATTTACCGAACTTTTCTCTGAGCACTGCTTTAGCTGTATCCAATGGAGTCTGTTGTCATGTTTGTTATTGTTATTTTCTGTAATCTCAGTTTTTAAAAAACACTTTTTATTGCTTAATTCAAATACAGATCATAGAAAAATACATATACACAGTAGCTACTATTTGGACATTTATGATCATCACCTCTTTACGTTTCTTTAATCATATAAGAATCCTGAAACTGTACATTTAGTTTTTTATGTCTTAGCTTATAGGATCCTCCCTTCTTTCTTCACCCCTTAGTATATATTAGTTGAAGACACTGGAATCTTTGTACTGTAGAGTTGTTCTCAAATCTAGATTTTGCTGATTTTTACTGTGGTACAGTTTAACATGTTACTCTCCTGTATTTCCTATAAATCAGCAGTTCAAGTGAGCAGCGTTATCGGACTGAGGTTTGATTATTTTGGCAAGACTACTTCAAGTTGATTGTGCTTTCTTGACACATCAGGAGGCACATAATGTCTGGCTATCTCTTTGCTGTGTAACTCTGGATGTCCAATGCACAGATTCTTTCATTCACTTGGGGTCATAATTCCATCATTCCTTTTCCATTTGTTGAATATTTCTAAAAAAAGGAAACTTTGCCTTATCCACTCACATGTTCCCAATTTTGACTGTACAGGAAAAGCAGGATAAATAGCTGATTCTTTCCCCTTGCCAGTTTTCAGAACAAAGGGCTGCTTCCCTAGCATTTTAAAGAGGTGATCAAATACCTTACATTCTTTAGTACCATTATGAAGCCACACATGAATTCTCTGCATGCTATTATCTTTAATGATACCTACATAATGCTATTTTGATCAATGGAGGTACTCTGAATATTATCCTTCTTGTTATCTTTAATAATGTTTTTGCTATCTGAATGAAAAAATGTTCTAGATTTATACACACATTTTTTCTCCCAGATCTGGAGTTAACCATTTCTCCAAGCTTTCTTTTAGTGGGGAAATAGCACTTTAAGATTACAATCAAGTCAGGTGCGGTGGGACACGCCTGTAATCACCACAGGGGCGGGGGGGGGGGGCACGGATGACACGTAATCACCAAGCCATATCACTAGCCCTTTTTTTTGTATTTTAGAGTGGGGGTCTCGCTGAGTTGATAACTGCCTCACTAATTTGCTAAAACTGGCTTTGAACTTGGGATTCTTCTACCTCAGCATCCTGAGTTGCTGGGATTACAGGTGTGTCCCACTGCACCCAGCTCAATTTTCTATTTTTGCTATTCACTTCTAGTTTTTCTTTGCACTGTGATAAGAAAATGCAGTCTGTAGTCTTCCTACTTTAGGGAATTTACTGAGGCAATGATGTGGCAAATTTGTCTTACAAGCAATATTCACAAGTGCTCCGCAGAACGTACAGGTATGTTCAATACTCAAAGCAATGCACAGAAAAGTTTAAATTAACATAATTAAGATCAATATTCAAAATGTCAATTTTGTTCTTATATGCTATGTTCATGGTAGATATATAATTAACTATGCTATTTAAGTCTATGTCTTTCCTCATATTGTCTATTTGACATGTCATAAGTAAAACATGAAAATTAAAGACTACAAATGTTTCTGTTAATTCCACCTCAAGCTTCCTGCTGGTTCTGTCTTATGAATGATTAATGATGCTCCATACATTTTATCTTTAGTGTCAATAGCACTGTTTACTTACAGTGCTCTTCTTTTTTCTTGTTTAATGCATTCTGATTTGAATTTGAACCTGTCTGGTTGTAAAATTGCCACTCCCTTCTCATCCTTTTGTTTGAATTTCTGTACCTTTGCTTGTCATCTCCCCCCATCCAAAGTCTGAATCAGTTTGCTTTAGATGTCTTTAGAAGTATAGTTGCCTTATGATCTAATAAAATAATGTTCCTTCTTTTAACATAAAGTTTAGTTAATTTACATTTACTGATAAAATGGTTTGGTATTCCTATTTTAAACAATCATCATCTAATGATCAATTAGGGATTGGGCTAATATGGATTTTGGAAGTAACTTAAATTCATTTCTTGTCCCTCTAAGTACTCATTACTCCTGCTTACCATTTGCATTTCTGGCTGAAAAGACAAATGTACTGAAAAAAAATAATAAATCACCCATATGACACGTGGAAAGGTGCTTAGACAAGGACTACTCAATAATGGCCCATGAATCAGTCTTAAATATTCCCTTTCTTGGTGGCTAAGTAAAGAAAGCATTAATGCCTATACTCTTAAAATGGGTTTGCCAAACACCCATCAAGTACCATCTCCACCTTGAGCCATCACAAAGATACACCACCCACCCCATAAATGCAACAAAAATGCCTGGCCAAATTTTAATTAGAATGCCTTCCAGTAAGTCAAAACAAATGACAAGATATACCACCATAGCAGTTACACTGAAAATGTTACATACCTTGCTCCAAGGTGATTTGCTAAGAATATCAAAGAATCTTTTTCTGCTCCAACACACTGGCTGAATGAAATAACACAATCCTCTAAAGGAGTCACTCCTGACATTACTGGGACTGGTGTGAAGAGAGGATTTGACCTTGGATCAATTAAAGTCTGATAGTCTATACAAGTAACCTTTTAAGACAAGAGAAACAAGAAAACCAACCTGAAATAAGAAACCAGTGGTTAACACTGGTTCAGTTATAGCTGCAATAATTTTAGTTTACACAAAAAAAAATTTTATTTTAATACAAACCTGGATATGTTCATTCTCAATTCATTTCAAATACCATTTAAAGAAATTTAGACATCAATTAATCATATTCAAATATCTAAAATCAGTAAGATTTATTATTGGAGTTACTGAAAATTGCCTTAAATAGCCTTCCTTCACATTAGAATTCTCTTAATTCTAGAGAAGTTTAGAAAGTGCATGTCAGGCTCTGGTTGTTAAAAGGAGATAAACTGTATGAGAGAGTTAACCAGGAGTATCCTCCTGTGAAGCAATGTTGCTACTGAGGCCCTAGGAAAGTAACCTCTACTCTACCAGAATTAGAACCAAGACACTTGCATATTTTCCTATTTTACAATTTCCCCTGGTTAAAGCAACATTCAAACAGTAGTCAAAACTAAGTGCTTTAAGAATAAATAGCATTCAAATATCCTTCAATATCATGTTTCAGTTGTGAAGTGTTTTCTTACCAGCCATGTATTTGTGACCACTTCTCCCACAGTTGCTTCTACTTTACATCCCAGCAGAGGAACCACAGCATAATCAGCCACAATTCTGCTCGGAAGGGATACAATCTTTCCAGCATGTTCTCTTATGATATTTCCAATATTACATTCATTTTCACTACTAAAACCCAAAACAAGGAAACTTTTTTGGCTAAATAAGCCTTCTTCAGTAATGGTAGAATTGTCAGGGAGGCAATGAGTGACAGAAGACTGGTTTTCTTCTTGCAGAGAAATGTGAGTGGAATCATTAAAGGGCTCAACATGAGTAGAACCATTACAGGGCCCAACTGCAGACTCTGCAGCTTCCGTCATTTTAGCTTCAACTAAAAGAGAAAAAGATAATTTATCTTATAGTCACAGCTTACTTCCTAGCAAGGATATTAATGTTACATGGAGTCTGATAATTCTGACACACAGAAAACTCAGGCTTAAATGTACATAATGAAGAAGGGATATGTACCCACCCCATCTTCCAGGTTACCAAGAGTGTTACCAGCATCATTATCTTCCATCAGGAAGGACAAAAGCAATCACATTTATTTTAAGTATTCCTATAGCACTAGAATCATGAATTAACTGAAAATTATGACATTCCAATAGGCCTGCCTTAGTTCCCAAACTGGTTTAGGTAATTTACAACGGAATTGAGAAAATATTTAGAGAAAAGCAAAATTCACAAATCTTAGAGGTCTGTCAAGCACTTAACATGGTTACAATTTTTTTAAAAAAATTCTTAAAATGTTACCTATTGAACTTGAAGCACATGTACAAATTTCTTAAAGAGAATAAGTGATCAAGGACTCAAGTAAATGACCTCAACTATTTCATTTTAAGATAAAGTTGACTGATTAGTAGAAAAAAAATACACCTATATAAAAACATATCAGGCTGGGGTTGTGGTTCAATGGACATGTCACTTGCCAAGGACATGTGAGGCACTGTGTTCGATCCTCAGAACCACATAAAAATAAATAAAATAGTTACTGTGTTCATCTACATATAAAAGACAATTTAAAAAACCCATAAATGTCACTAATTAAAATATACAGTCCCTAATATGTAAAAAACATTGTCAAATTCAGGCTCAAACTACAAGAAATAATAATTTGGTATGTTTTGGAAATCTCTAACTTGTGCCACATTGGAAAGTAACACTCTTCAGAGAGAAGGTTTGCTCTGACAAGCTGGAAGTTTGTCAAGGACTCATTCTGTATTTATACAGTTGCTGTATTGCCGGTTGTACATGCTCACACAATGCTAACTGTACAGGTAATACTTTCAGTAGATTCCCTTTCTTCTAACAGAATCTCAGGGTTCAAAGAGGTTATATGGCTTTCAGTTATACAGTGGCATATAAACCAAATATGACTCTAGAGTCCTAACATTATTAATAACACCTCCTTCCTTTACCTCTACTTTTTCTTTCTTTCTTTTTTTTTTTTTTTTTTGTGGTACTGGGGATTAAACCCAGGGCCTCACACATTCTAAACAAGTGCTCTACCATCAAGTTATATTCTCAGTCCAAGGTCTGTTTTTTAAGAGTTAAAAGGAAAACAGCTTATTTTTTTTTATTTTTAATTTTTTTTAGTTGTAGTTGGACACAATATCTTTATTTTTTATTTATTTTTGTGTGGTGCTAAGGATTGAACCCAGGACCCTGCATGTGCTAGGCAAGCCCACTACTGCTGAGCCACAGACCCAGCCCAAAACAGCTTTTTTTTTGAGAGTTTTTGTTTTGTTTTAAAGAGAGATATTTTTTTATTGTTCAAAACATTACAATGCTCTTGACATATCATATTTCACACATTTGATTCAAGTGGATTAGGAACTCCCATTTTTACCACATGTACAGATTTCAGGATCACACTGGTTACACATCCACATTTATACATACTGCCATACTAGTGTCTGTTATATTTTGCTGCCTTTCCTATCCCCTACTATCCCCCTCCCCTCCCTTCAAGAGTTTTTAAATATTTATTTCTTAGTTTTCAGTGGACACAACATCGTTATTTTTATTTTTATGTGGTACTGAGGATCGAACTTAGCTCCCTGCGCATGCCAGGAGAGCTCGTTACCACTTGAGCCACACCCCCCAACCCCCAACAGCTTGTTTTAAATGTAAAATCAATTCTTTTTGCAATTACAACAAATTTTGCAATCACATATAGGAAAAAATAACAGCTTTGTTTGATGTCTATATATAGCTGATGATATGGGATAAAGGAAGAAAACTAATGGAGTTTTAATCTACTACTAAAAATATAAACCATAAAAATTAAGTTCTTAAAAATTATAGGTAAAACCTAAAAAGACTCAATAAGTTAAAATGCTCTTCAGCAGTTCGAGATTTCCATTTACTTTAGCAGTAGAAATCCTTTTTCAAATAAATAAATCCTGACGCCCAACAGACAATACTTGATAAGCCTATTATTGAAAAAAAGCTCTCTTAAATCAAAAGCAATTTTGCTTTAAGAATTAATTGTGCACTATCACATCATTTCAAAGGTGCTTGAGGATCTACGAAGATTTATTGTCATGAATCCTCATAAAATCAGTAAACCAGCAGCTGCCTTGCAGGAAGCTCTGAGAAGCTCATCACCTCCTCTCTACAAGGTAACTGAAAATGGTTTAACAGTCAGGCATGGTGGTGCATGCCTACAATCCCAGCAGCTCGGGAGACTGTGGCAGGAAGACAAAAATTCAAGGCAACCCTCACCAACTTAGGGGGGCCTTAAGCAACTTAGTGAGATGAAAGGAAAGAAAGAAAGAAAAGAAAGTGAGAAGAAGGAAGGAAGGAGGAAAGGAAAGAAAGAACGAGTGAGCTATGTATGTATTTGCAAAGGGAGATGATAAGTACACTCAGCTTTGGTTCAAGGGCAAAAGCATCACTCCTGAGAATTTGTTATCACAGGCTAGTCCTCAACTAGGTTAGGGGACAAATTTACACTTGCTTGATGATCCAAGAAATCTCCAGCCAATAAAATTTAGAGATGTAAAGAGCTGGAAAACTCCTGAGCACTCAGGAGACCTATCCATGAACCTTTTCTAAAAGAACAAACCTTTAACTGAGGTTTGTTATTGTTACTAAAATGAAATTCACAATTAAAACAATCTAAAATCCATGAGAAAAATAGCCACCATGAATAAAAAACAACACAACTAACCCCCTACCTACTCAGATGTTGGAACAGGTTTAATGATTCAAGAAATAAAGAACAGGGATGGGCATATAGCTCAGTTGGTAGAGTGCTTGCCTTGCATGCACAAGGCCCTGGGTTCAATCCCCAGCACCACAAAAACAAAAACAAAAAAAAAAAAAGAAATAAAGAACAAAAACAAACATGAATACAGCAGGGCATGGTGGTGCACACGTGTAATCACAGCAGCTAAGGAGTCTGAGGTGCTAAGCAACTCAGTGAGATTCTGCCTCTAAATAAAATACAAGTTAGGCTGGGAATGTGGCTCGGTGATCTGGAGTTCAATCCCAGGTACCAAAAAAAAAAAAAAAAAAAAAACCAGAAACAAAAACATGAATACAGAATACAAGACTATGAAAAGAGAGGCTGGGGCTATGACTCAGTGGTATAGCACTTGCCTCGCATGTGTGAGGCACTGGATTCGATCCTCAGCACCACCTAAAAATCATTGTGTCCATCTACAACTAAAAAAATTAATTTAAAAAAAGACTATGAAAACAACTATATAGAATTTAAAATTTTATCATTAAAACTGAAAATGTGGGCTAGGATGTGGCTCAGTTGTAGAGTGCTCGCATAGCGAACTCGATGCCCTGGGTTTGATCCTCACACCACATAAAAATAAAATAACGATATTGCATCCAACTACAACTAAAAAATAAACGTTTTTTAAAAACTGAAAATTTAATGAGCAGTTTAAACAGATTATATAATAGCTGAACAAAGAATTGGTGACCATGAAGAAAAATCTGATAGAATTACATAATGAACCAAAGGAAGATAAATACAGAAAATAAGGATGGTTAAGTGACCATGCACAGAGCAAATAAGAGAACGGAGGCGAAATGATATTCAAAAAGATAATAGAAGAAAAATTTCTAGAACAAAGGAAAAAAACAAAACCCCCACTCATTCTCAGATTCAAAAACAGTAAATTACAAGTAGGAAAAATAAATGGTAAAACTCTAGACATTAAAACAAAAGGAAGGTATTAAACTGAGGGGGAAAAAATGGAACGGCAGAGCCGGGTGCGGTGGCGCATGCCTGTAATTCCAGCGGCTTGGGAGACTGAGGCAGGAGAATCCTGAGTTCAAAGCCAGCTTCAGCAACTTAGTGAGGCACTTAGCAACTCAGCAAGACACTGTCTCTTAAAAAAAAAAAAAAAAAAAAAAAAAAAGCTGGGAATGTAGCTCTCCTGGGTTCAATCTTTAGTAGCAAAAAAGAAAAAAAGAGGGAATGACAGGAATATAGACATCTGATTCATATTGCTAAAGTGTTTAAACAAAGTCAATTGTCTAGAACTACATAACTAGCAGAATTGTCTTTTAAGAACAAAGGCAAAACAAAGGCATTATCAGGTGAATAGAAACTAGTGGAATTTCTAAAGAATATTTCAAGAAGAAAGAAAATTGTTTCAGAAGAGAGATGTCAGATGCAAAAATAAATGGGGAACAAAAAAATAAGCAATTCAGTGAGACCCTGTCTCTAAATAAAGCACAAAATAGGGCTGATGTGGCTCTGTGGTCCGAATGGCCCCGAGTTCAATCCCCGGTACCCCTACCCCCAAAACAGGCAGGGGAGCATAGAATATGGGGAGAATAACACAAAATGAGATGGTACAAAATAACCTAAATACATAAAAAGTAATAATAAATATAAAATGAATAATTACTAACTCTTTCTGAGGTTAAGGGAAAGACTTACCAATCAATTTTACGAATAACAGACAACAGAAAAGGAAAATATATAGCCAGTTTCACACTGAATAGATAAAAACTTACGTAATGAGTAAACTAACTACAGTAATGTATCAAAGATGAATACACCACATCTAGAAGAATTTAAAGTTAATTTTGTGGTATAAAATCTATGAGTATAATGTATCACATTAAAGGAGAAAAGAGATGATCATTCTGTCAAGTGCAGGGAAGAGTACTTAATCGAATTCAACACTCAGCTCAAAGACCTAAATACGAAAACTCTAATACTTGAAATGGGACATATTCTTTAAAATCCAATACTTAAAGCAATCTTCAGAAAAGTTTACACAAACATAATTAAGATCAATATTCAAAATGTCAATTTTGGTTTTGAACAACTAATAATAAAAATAAATAAATGTAATTTTGTTCTTATATACCTATTATTAAAAAATGTAATTTGAAAAGACATAAATTAAGATTGCTAAAACAACAAAAAACACAAGAAATTATAAATAAATCTCACATAGCATGTCTTGGATTTTATGAATATATTATAGTTATTGGAAGATATTGAAAAAGATAAAACTACATAGCTTATTTGTGGATAAGGAGGTATTCTGTTTTTTTTTTAATTGTAAAGATCTCAATTCTCCAGATTACAAATTCATAATTGTAGTCTAAATACAGATCCCACTCTACAGCATATGACAGAGATGGCATTGCAACATAGTGGAGAAAAAATGAACTTCTCAATAAAAATTGTAGGAGAATTGATTGTACATCCACAGAGATTAAAAAAATAAAATTAGAACATTTCATATCAAACATCAACAATGAACTCCAGGTGGATAGATTAATGTGAAAAAGCAAAAGTTTAATAAGATTCTAAAAAATACAGCCAGGTATGTTGGGGCATGTCTGTAATCCCAGCAATTCCAGAGGCTGAGCCAAGAGGATTGCAAGTTCAAGGCCAGCATCAGCAACTTAGCAAGGTCCTAAGTAACATAGTGAGACCCTGTCTCAAAATAAAAAATAAAAATGGCTGGGGATGTGGTTCAGTGATTAAGTGCCCCTAGGTTCAATCCCCAGTACCAAAATCAAATTAAATAAAAAATATACAAGATAACTTTTGACCATGGAGTAGAGAAACTTCTTATACAAAATAGAAAAGCAAAAACCACAAATGAATACACTGAAAAACTATATATACAACTAACATTATAATAAAATAACACTAAAAAAATGCTCTACTGGGGATGAGGTTGTGGCTCAACAGTAGAGCGCTCACCTAGCACGTGTAAGGTCCTGAGTTCGATCCTCAGCACGCATAGAAATAAATGAATAAACAAAGGTATTGTGCCCAACTACAATTAAAATAAATAAATAAATAAAAATGTTCTACTGTATTACTAACAATAAAATGAAATTAAAACCATGACAGGATCCTACTTTATACCTACCAATTGGGCAAAAATTACAAGCACTACAATACCATACCCTGGAAGGATGTGGAACAACAGGAACCTTTTCTCACTGTTAATGAAATTAGTAAAATAGGCCAAACACTTCTGAAAACAATCTGCATTACCTAAGAAGGTTAAAGATGTATATATCCCATGAATTAACCATCTTATTTTTTGGTTCATATAATAGAAAAATAAAACTTCAGCAATACTGATTATAATGGCAAAAAAGAGTCATGACAAAAATGTCTATCAGTGAAAAAAAGAATAAAATACTATAGGACAAGAGTATATTATTCTGTGTATATAGTATTCTATACCATAGTATATTTGTATCACTGTGTTATATTCATAACTAGATACTTGGATTACATGATGTTTCATATTGGGTATGGGACTCAACATAAAAGTACATATAATTCAAACACATTAAAATAGTTATAAAATAATACGAATATTGTTTACAGATAGACACACTTAATACAAATTACAAAGAAAATGAAGAGGAGTCACAGAAGGCTTTTGGTATAGTGGTAATGTTCTCTCTCTTTTTTGTACTGGGGAATTGAACCCAGAGGTGCTCTACCAATGAGATATAAAGCCCTTTTTATTTTGAGACAGGGTCCCACTAGGTTGTCTAGGCTGGTCTCAAACTTGTGATCCTCCTACCTTAGCCTACCAAGTTGCTGGGATTACAGGTATGTGCCACTGTGCCCAACTCATGTTCTATTTTCTAAAACCAGATACATGATTATTCATTGCATTTTTCTTTATGTCTTTTTGGATACATAAAATATTTCACATGATTAAAAAAAGAAAGGGGGTTCATTAACTCTTGACTCATAGTTTACCTTACCATACTCCAGATGAACAAAACTACACAGCAGTGGTGGTTCACAGTACAGCACAGCATGCATTAATTAAAGACTTCAATGACCCAATAAGAGGTATTTGTTAAAGCCCATGCCAAGTCACGCATGGCAGTGCATGCCTGTAATACCAGCGGCTCAGGAGACTGAGGCAGGAGGATTCTGAGTTCAAAGGCAGCTCAGCAAAAAGTGAGGTGCTAAGCAACTCAGTGAGACCCTATCTCTAAATATAAAATAGGGCAGGGGAGTGCCCGAGTTCAATCCCCAGCGCCCCCACTACCTAAGCCCATGCCATTACTAACTCACAAACAAAGCTAGCAATGCCAGCATATGTAACACATCAAAATGGAGCCTGTTAGGGCTGGGGTTGTGTCTCAGTGGTAGAGCACTTGCCTAGTGTGTGTGAGGCACTGGGTTCGATCCTCAGCACCACATAAAACTAAATCAATAAAATAAAAGTATCGTGTTCATCTACAACTAAGAAAGAAAAAAAGAAAAAAATGTAGCCAGTTAGTTGAAAAGAGAAGATTAAAGGACTCATGGGACTGGGGTTGTGGTTCAGCAGTAGAACGCTCACCTCACATGTGTGAGACCCTGGGTTCAATCCTCAGCACCACATAAAAATAAAGTGAAATAAAGGCATTGTGCCCAATTACAACTAAAAAATAAACATTAAAAAAATGAACAAAGATTCAAAGAATGATGATCTCATTTGCTCAGAAAAGTTACAAAAAAAATTTTAAGTGAATAAAAAATTTAAAAAAAAAACTTAAAATATATAAAATTTGACAGAAATCATTTATGTATATATTCAGCTACTAAATATTTACTAACTGCAAGCACTAATCAAGAAGTTCTTACCTATTGAGGAGTTATTATTTACATATTGAGAGAGCAGATCTTCATCAGCTTGTTCATGCTTTTCATTAGGAGCAGAGTCTTTCTTGGAAAAGCTACTGTTGTTCTTTTTTGAAAGAGCTGTTTTGCTTTCAGGCTGATCTGAAACTGGAATTTCTACTGGCTGGTAGTTAGCATGAATATATGGTTCTTCAGGAAGCATATAACCTTTACTAAAACACTCTAGCAACCATTTTGCTCCCACTACATGCGGCCTACAAAAACAGCACATAGTTATATATTAGTTTAAGCCACGAAGACCATCACCCCACTTGCCACGTAGTTCCCATAGTTGCATGGACATGCATTTTTTTTTTTTTTCCTCTAATTTTATTTTGAGACAGAGTCTCGCTAAATTGCCCAGGCTGGCCTGGAACTTACAATCCTCCTGCCTCAGCTTCCTGAGTCTCTGGGATTATAGGTATGCACCACCATGCCCAGTTCAGACATGCAATTTTAACAAAAATCATTACACAGTAGAAATTGTTTTGAATTAAAAATTGGCAAAACCTGTGGGCTGATTTATTCCAAAACTGCTTCAATTCATCATCATAATCTCCCACAATAACATGAGTTACATCTTCATTAAGTTGATTAAAACGAACTCCACCTCCACTGTTAATAAGTCTTCTCAGTTTATCTAGCTTTCTTCCACTAAAACCACAAAGATATATCTGTAAAGAAAGAAAATATTTGTTTTAATGTATTCAAGATGCTTTATTTCTTAAGAGGAAAAAACTTCTCAAAAACATCTAAATTCACAGTGTATAAATAAGACAACTTGTGTACATTTTAGGATCCATTAAAAAATGAAGTATATTATAAAACTGAGTTTTAAAATAATTTCTTTATAACCCCACAGTATTATTATATTAGTGCATAAAAATTTCTACTATTCAGGTAGCTTCTTAAATTGTGAAGGTCTCACTACATGTAGGTTTTAAACTAATTATAGAAACAATCTGTAACTGCTTGTAAATTCAGAAAATCTAGATTTAAATTCTTGTTTTCAGATGCCACTGATTATAGACTTGCGGAAAGTTCCTTAAGCTGTTTTGCCAGTTTACTTACATAAAAGTTGAGGTCCTCCCTCCCCACATAGAATTGATTAAACAAAAAATAAGTGTCAAAAAGCAAAATATAATGCTTTGAGGATACTATGTATGCGATAATTGATTCTAATTTATTTTTAGGATATTCATATATTTAAGCCTATTTAATCAATATAAAAATCTTTTCTACCTCTATTTTAAAGGGATTGAAGTCAGGAGCATTTTACCACTGAGCTATAACCCCAGATTTTTAATTTTGTGACAGGGTCTCACTAAGTTGCTGAAGCTGGTCTTGAATTTGCAATTCTCCTGCCTAAGCCTCCTGGGTTGCTGAGATTATCGGTGTGTGCCAGCAAGCCTGGATAAAATATCTTCTTAAGAAATTAAAAATGACAAATCTATTCCTAACTGTGTTCATATACAAACTAAATCATCTGCATTACAAGAATCTATCTTAACAAAAATCAAGAAATATATACTTCCTATGTGTAAATCATATCTAAACTTAGTATAACACAGGCTAAAAGAATACCTAAAAAACTTTCTGTTCACCAATAAGCTGGTAAGTTTTAAAAGTATAGAAGGGTAAGGTAATTTGCCCAATTTTCCTTCTTAACAATAAAATATGGTAAATTTTTGCCACTCTGTGAGAAATAACACACAACCAAGTCATTCTACATATAGAAATACATTAAGTAAGCATTCAGATCAAGAAAATCTAAAAAAGTAAAACATGATATAATGCTTCCCTCAAGGAACTTACAAGATAGTTATTCATACACTAAAACATTAAATAACCTAAGAAGTACTAAACAAAGTAGTGGCTTTAATAATCCATTTATGTGACTCTGAACAAGAATTTTAAGACTCTTAAGTATTAACCTCGACATAATATACACCTTAAGAGTTATTTATGAGAATTAAGTGAGAGTATAAACAGCATATTAACATATATAAAATGATTAGCAGTATTAATACACTGTGAACACTTAACAAATGAGTTACAAATGAAAAGTAAATAGTTCAGATAAAGCCTCAAAATACAGTAATCACAAACTGGAAGGGTTCAGAGACGAAAAATGAAATAAACTTCAAAAAATGAGATGAGGGTAGTTAAAAAAGAAAAAGAAAAAAAAAAGTGAAATGAGGGTTGAGATTGTAACTCAGTGGTAGAGCACTTGCCTAGCATGTGTAAGGCACTGGGTTCAATTCTTAGCATAGCATATAAATAAATAAAGGTCCATTCACAACTAAAAATAGATTTAAAAAAGAAAACAGTGAAATGAACTTCAAAGGATAAAGAACGAAGGTACAGGGCTGGGAATATGGCTCAGCTGGTAGAGTGCTTGCCTCGAATGTACAAGGCCTGAGTTCAATCCCCAGAACCACAAAAAACAAAAACATCAAAGCAAAAAGGTACATCCCAGACAAGGGGATGAGGGGATGTTCACAACCAAGGAATGGGCATGGCAAGTCTATCTTCTGAGTTTACTAGACCATTTATACAGATAAAGAGCAAGCCCAACTATGAGGGATCTTCAAAGCTGAGCTAGGGCCAGGCACAGTGGTGCATGCCTATAATCCCTGAAAATTCAGGAGGCTGAGGCAGGAGGATCACAAGTTCAAGACCAGCTTCTCCCACTTACAGAGGCCCTAAGCAAGTTAGCGAGACCCTGTCTCAAAAAATAAAATGAGCTGGGAATGTGGCTCAGTGGTTAAGTGCCTTGGTTTTAATCCCTGGTACCAAAAACAAAACAAAACAAAAAATCAAAGTCAGGCTAGGGAGTGCAGAAATATGTTATCACTTTGCATTTATTACATACTAAAGACGTACCCGGCAACCATCTAATAAATCTTCAGGTGCTTGAAATGCACTGACATCCAGATTTTCTAGACTGTCAAGCGAAGACTCCAATTTGCTATTAAGAACTGAACTGCATATTGATTCATTTATGCAACTTCCATTTATGTTTGAAATATGGCTAACATCTGAAAGAGTACGACCTACATATTAAAAAACAACAACAACAAAAAAAGATAAGTTCCTGGAGATAAAATAATTGATTAAATATTTTCTTATAAACTAATTTTTCCTATAATCAAAGGATTATTAAAAATTCCTAAAGAATCAGGTTTTTACTGAAATCTTGTGTCAAAATATGAAAAGAAAAAAATGAAATTAAGTCTCCTACTTTATTTAAATGAAAAAATATTTAATATGTGTTCATAATCATGGTTTCTTTCCCATGAAAATGTGAACCTGCTGGCCTTAAGGTCCAAACAGCTTACATCTGAAAAAACTTTATAACAATATTTTGCCAACATGGAGCTTACAAAATAAGAGTTGTTTTAAGGTTTAGATAGATAGATAATCTATAACAATCACAGTAAAAAAAAAAAAAATTCTTATTTTAAGTCTCCATCCATTGTGTTCTTAATGTTTTTGCATTATATTAGAATATGGAAGAAAGCAATCATTCATTCTAAAAAGAAATAGGAGTGGTTCTGAACTCATTTTTTATATAATTTGGCTATTTTATCATACCATTTTTGCCTAGGTGCATAGGGGAAAATATAAAAATTTCCTACCATATTTCAGGGATCCTATTTATAAATCTTTGCTGGGGACTGAACCCAGGTCTCCTGCATACTACATAAGCAACCTACCACTGACCAACATCCCCAGCATGACATATCAATTCACACATGGAAAAATGATCAGACTTACTATCAATTGTATGGACTTGGCCAGTGGGAGTTGAAGTGTCAGGCATACTCTTTGTTTCTGGTCTAGGTTCCATCTTGTATATAGATTCGTCCTGACAAAAACCTTTCTCAATGCTGTCAAAAAACCATTGTGTGGTGACACAATGTACATTCCATCTCTTGGCACATTCATATTTCTGACCTGTTGTGTAGGGAAATGCAAACCATTAAAATCCGTTTTTGCAGAAATTTTCGAATTATAATAGGTAATTCAAAAATGTACCTGAAACAAAATTAAGGGTTACCAGTAATTACTCTTACTTTTCAGTATGCCAATAATGTGTTAAAAAGCAATATTTCAGCTGGGCACTGTGGTGCATGCCTGTAATCCCAGCAACTCAGGAGGCTGAAGAAGGAGGATCATGAATTCAAAGCCAGCCTCAGCAACTTAGCAAGGCACTTAGCAACTCAGCAAGACCCTGTCTCTAAATAGGTCTGGGATTGTGGCTCAATGGTCCAAGTGCCCTGGAGTTCAATCCCTGGTACCCCACCCCCCCGCCCCAAAAGGGCAGTATTTTAGGTTATTACCTAAACATATTCTTTAGGTGTTACATAAATAGAAGTGTTACATGAGGGACTTTATCTTTTAAACAAATTGCATGAAAACAATTATAACTGTGGGGCAAATGATAATACTAAATTGCATAGAGACTCCCTCAATTTCTTTCTTTTTTTTTTTTTTGTAGTTGTAGATGGACACAATACCTTTATTTTATTTAGTTATCTTTATGTGGTGCTGAGGATCGAACCCAGGGTCTCACATGTGCTAGGCAAGCACTCTACCATTGAGCTACAACTCCAGCTCCAGACTCCCTCAATTTTCTTAAACCAGTTTCTTAATCTATAAAATGGGAATACTAAGAATTACTATATGGCTTTTTAACAAGAATGTATCAGACAACTGGGAAAATTATAAATGTATGCAAATTAATAAATACCAACTTTGAATTGAATAGACTATTCCAGTACTGACAGGATTTTACTTAAACTCAAGGAGAAGCAGATACATGTTACGTATATACCTTTTTATTACCTTAAAAAACTTCAACACGATATATTTTAAAACAGCATCCCAGAAAAACTAAGGTCAATACCTAACATTAGAGTCACCACATAAACTTCCTTCTAATTCATGAGGAGGCAGCAGCATCAACTCTCCTCACAAGCGCTCCACAGCTGCCATACAGAAAGTTCTGAAAACTACCAATTTATCTTAATGCTTTTTCTCAAATTTTTTTCCTATCTATTTAGCCTAAACAGAGTACAAATATAAAGAGATAAAGCTGAGTACAGTGGTGCACACCTGTAATTCCAGCCATCTCAAGAGACTGAGGCAGGAAGAGCACATGTTTAAGGTTAGCCTGGGCAACTTAGTGAGATTCTCAAAATAAAAAATAAAAACAGGCTGGGGATGTAGCTCAGTGGCAGATCACTCCTGGGTTAAATCCCTTGTGCCACAAAAAAATAAACGAACAAAAAACACATTAACAAAACTCTTCTCCATTCATTTGTACATATTTTTAAAGTACTAGTAAAAAATGTTCTCCAGAATAGAGTGGGGGAGGTAGGAGGATAAGAAGGTTAAAAAAAAAATTCTCCAGGATAAATATAAAGGTTACAGAATATAAAAATTAATGTAAGTTTAAAAATTTCTTCCTATAAGTAATTAAGTAATGTTTTTTATTCTTTAAACTGCCTCATCATCTGCAAGATATATCTTTTTTTTTTTCCCCAATACTGGGACTTGAACCCACAGGCACTCTGTCACTAAGCTACATTCTCAGATTTTTGTTTATTTTTTATTTTGAGATGGCGTCTTGCCATTCGAACTTGAGATCCTCCTGTCTTAGTCTCCCGAGTAGCCAGAAATATAGGTGTACATTACCATACTCAGCCACCAGGTATTTAAGATACCTGGGGCTGTACCTCAATGGCAAAGCACTTGCCTAGCACAAGTGAGGCACTAGGTTCGATCCTCAGCACCACATAAAAATAAATTTAAAAAAATAAATAAAAGTATGAGGGGGAGCAAACTAGATCAATGACATCAGAAGCAAAGCCTGTTCTAAAAGATTGTAAAACATGAGATATTAGAGAAAATTGTGAATTTATCCATTTATAAAAGTTTTACCTTTCGGTTCTTGCACAATGAGGTGTGTACACTCATTCATTTTCAACTGTCCCATGTATTGGCCTCCATGCTTAATGGTGAGTTGCTGGACTGCCCTCCTGTCTAAGCCACACAAGCCTGTGACACAGATTATGCAACCAAGAAAAATAGGGCACTTGAAATCTTCCATGTTCACATCAGTATATCTAGTTATTTTTCTGGAGAAATTAAATGGTAAAAAGTAATAAAAATGAATATATTAAATATACCAGGTAGTTTTACATTTACTAGGAGCACAACGACAAACAGAAATATCACCTTTCCTCATTTTAGAATTTATAATCATTTTAAGAAAGGGAGAACTGACAAATACTTTAGAATTATACTAACTGCTCATCTAGCTCCATACATATTGCTAATAAAAAGTGATGTTTTTAGCTACTGTCTGTATTAAGAGAAAAATATGTATTTCAGTACTCTTAAACCCTTGCTAGTCAAAGTGGTACATTTTCCAAAATTAAATGCCAAAAACACTACTTAAAAACCCTAAAGTTTGGATGGGATATAGCTCAGCTGGTTGAGTGCTTGCCTCACATGCACAAGGCCCTGGGTTCAATCCCCAGCACCATACACACATACAAAAAAAGCCATGTATAAAGATGTGAGGGAAAAAAAAAAATAGTGTTACCTTAGATTAGGTAGAAAGGAGGGGAAGGCAGAGGATGTGAGGATAAGAAAGATAGTAGAATAAAACAGACATTATTACTTTGTGTATATATGTGAATGCATGACCAATATGATTCTGCAACCTGTACACTCAGAAAAATGAGAAATTATATCCCATCTGATTCAAATGAATGATATATCAAAGTCATTGTACTGTCATGTATAACTAATTTAAACAAATTTAAAAATTAAAAAAAAAAAGCCAAAACAAACCTAAAGTTATTTGGCTGCCTATGATAAAATGAACTTTTAAATTCTATTATTCAATATAAGTAAAACAATTATTTTTGGCAGAATAGCAACAAAAACATCATTATTATTCTGTTGTCACGCCAGGCAGATGGACTGGGAATGCAGGAACTGACATGGAGACATATTTAGATGTGCTAGATGATGTTGAAAACAATCCCAGAAAAATGCCAATATAATTCTGTGGTACCTGGGCTTACAGTTGTTAATTTCATTTCAGGAAAAACTTGCATGCTTCCTGAAACTGACTCTAAGCTCCCCAAGGGAAGGGACACATCCTGCTCCCGAAATCTAATGTCTCATGCAGGCCAGATATGCAAAGGATCAATTTACCTTTACTGAGTGATCACACCTTCTGATGGCTTACCTCCTCTAGGAGGGACTAAAACTACCTAAATATTTCATTTATTCTCAGTCTTAACATATGGGCACAGTAATGAAGGAAAATACAACAAAAAAGCTACAAAGTTACCAAACTGATTTTCTCAACTTAGAAATATTTGCTGCGGAAAATCTTTAGTATCAAAGCATTTACATTCTACTAGTGTTAAACCCACAGCCCATTTTACTCAACTTATACCCTGATAACAATCCCCTGTAGATTCTCCTAGTTTCCACTGGAGAAAAGAGTAATGACCCCATTTCCCTGAATAACAAATCTAAAGAGGATGCCATAAAGCTCCCCTTTTAAAATACAGAGTACCCCAAAATAATTGAATGCATCAGTTTTTCAAAATCTTGAAAATACATAGTGTTTGTCTTACTTCTCTTGTGACTTTTCCCAAAGTGTTTTTATCCAAGAAGGAAGCAAAATAGGTTTCTTCAGATTTGCAGCAACTAAATATTTTTTGCTACCAACTTCTCCTGCAATAAGGTGAGTTACTGATATATTAAGGTCTCTGTATACTCGTCCACCCATCATTTGTACATACTTATGAACTTCATCCTGCAGCCCCAAAAGAAAATATGTTAATATAAGAGCAAATATTAGCTCTTCCATTTTTATACAATATACCATAAATATCTTTGTTATTGATAACCTGAATACATAAGTGTTCCTTACTTTATAAAGTCAAATAATTAATTTACATTTAGAAGATGAATACAAATTATAAATTTAAAATAACCATTTTCACTAAGTGTGGTAATGTACACCTATACTTCTAGCTACTTGGGAGGCCAAGGCAAGATCACAAGTTCAAGGCCAGTCTCAGCAACTCAGCGAGACCCTGTCTCAGAAAGGGTTAATGGTAGAGCACCCCTGGGTTCAACGCCTAGTACAAAAACAATAAAATTCTATTTCCGTGAACAGTCACACACTGTATGATGATGTTTTGGTCAACAACAGACACATATTCAATAGTGTGGGCTTATAAGATTGTACTGCCTCATGACATTATAGCCATTAAGTTTGTATAAGTATTCCCAATGATATAATTACCTAAAGACACATTTCAGACTATATTCCCACTGTTAAGCAACAAATGATTGTATTTACTCTTTTCAACTCCATGAATTTATTAAACTATGTTGCTCCTATAATAAACATTACATTCTACATGCTTATACACATCATTTTAAAAGTATAAATTATATCCATGTAAAAAAATAAAAAATATTTTACACAGTTCTTAGAATCCTGCCTTAAAGATTATCCATCTATGAAAAAATATTAAGTAAACATTAGTTTCCTTAGTAAAGAAATTCACTAAGGAAAAAAATGAGATTTATTTTAGTTGCTACAAATCTGTGAACATTATGGACACCTACCCTTTTTTCTTTATCCAGGCTTGTACAAGATACAGTTACATCAGACATTACCATATTATAAACAGGATGTTCAGCTCTTGGGACACATCGCTGGTGATGCATGCAAAATATGACTACTTGAGGACCAACAATTCTGCAGCCAAGCTATAAAAAAAGAGAAGGTTTTGTGAGCTGAGAAGGAAAAGACCACCCATCTTACAAAATTACATTTGGTAATATTTACCAATTATTTACAAAAGTTGATGACTACTGCAGAAAAACCACCAAATTTTAGAAAAAAATCATGACCATTATAATTTCTGAGACACACTATACATTAAATAAATAGGCAGATATAAAACCCAAATAAACAATACAAGTCAAAAGAAAAGGCCTCCAGGAGACCTTCACTCAAAACCGCTATCAAAATTTTAATCTCTGAAATATAATCTTAATACAATAATCTTATAACAACTAGGAAACATCTACATATGCTTTTCAAATGAAGCACTAAGCCAATGAAGCAATTTCAGAGTGTAAGAGCCTATAATAATCCTAAGAAACCCACTATCACAAAAAATGAACAACACTAGGCAATTTCTACACTGGGTTTTAAATACTTTGTACCTCAACATCCTTTCAAGGAAGAACCACAAAGATTTACACTTTAAAAAAAAAAAAAAAAAAAAACTTCAAAGATATTGAGTTCATAGAGTTGACAAGTCTTGCTCAACAACATACTCAAGTCACATTAAAAAAAGCCTACTGTTGCCAAAGTCATCACTGCATGACTGATTTAAATATCTACAGAAAAAGCATTAGCACTACCTTTTTTTCTTTGGGTACTAGAGATTGAACCCAGAGGTGCTTAACCATTGAGCCATATCCCCAGCCCTTTTTAAAATAATTTTTTTGAGAAGATCTCGTTAAGTTGCTCAGAGCCTTGCCAAGTTGACAAAGCTGGCTTTGAATTTATGATCCTCCTGCCTTAGCCTCCTGAGTTGCTGCAATTAGGTATGCATCATGGCACCTGGCTGATGTTACTAATTTCTACCTGATGAATAGTGGTTTTTCCAAAGGAGACTAACAGCAACAGTGCTCTAGGCGAGATGTGCACTGACCTTCCATAAATGGTACAGATACTGCATCGACCTACTCTTCTATGTTTTCTTCTTCAAACAAAAATCATATCGTTGTAATCTGGATGAAATCACAGCCAGTTTAATTTTATTTCAATGCTTGTCTCTTGTCCAGACACCAAAAGGTAATGAGTCAGTAGACTTTAGAATAACAACAAAAAAAAATAAGATGGCTCATTGGTATGTTAGCAGTAGTAATACCCAAAATGCTCCCTTCTAAGATAATTTATCAAACTTAGTACAGGGTAGAGGTACTAAAATTCTATGTGCAGGAGCGCACAGAAAAGACAGGAAGTTACCACACATTCTATTGGGATCTTTTCCTACTCTACTATTTTCCCCTAAATGTTTTGCAACCTAAATTTTTAGGACAATAAGCTCTATCACTGAAATTCTTCATTACTTTAGATTTGCTTATACTAACTGAAGCTATATTCCCCTTAAAAACAAAAAGTACATATAATAAAAGCCTACAATAACAAAATTAGCCTTTAAAAAACATTATTCTGGTCTCCTAAACCAAAATAATACCAATGTATTTATGATTTGCATAATATTTCATAATCAGTAAAGAATTTATGAAGCAAAAACAAACCAAAAACCATCTACCATATAAGTCAGCAAACCTTTTTAAGGTGATCGAAAACAGCACCACTAAAAGGGTCACAAATATAAAGTGATCTGTCATTCTCCTTTATCTTCAATGCCTCTTCTTCTGTAATAATCTGAAGATATTCTTCTGATTGGAATTCTTTTATAGACTAAAAGAAAAAAGTAAAAAAGAATAAACCCCAAGTCAGCCCCCTGAATTTAAGTCCTACCAAGTCTTTGAAATCCACCTCAAACTACCTTTTCTTTATAGACAGCAACTATCATCTCTCACCTAGACCACTGCAGAAGCCTCCCAAGTGGTTTTTCTCTCCTTCCTTCAGTATAAATCTACTCTGCACACAGCAATTAGTAATCTTTTAAAAAAGACAAATTAGATCATATTACGTTCTGCTCAAAACCCTCTAATAACTTCCCATCACACTCAGGATAAAATCCTCGTTCCTTACCACAGCCTACAGGACCACCTGATCCTGCCCTAGCCTATCTCCCCACACTCATCTCCTACCTCCAATCACCCTGGCTTGCTCTTGGCACACCCACTTCCTTGCTAAGCTAAAAAAGGCTAAGCATGACCTCATTTAGACTTAGCTTATACCTGCAGCAGAGAATATTCTTCTGCCAGGTCTTCACCTGACATGATTCCTCACTTCAGTCAGGTCTGCTTAAATGCCACCTCCTTAGAGATGCCTTTCCTAATCATACTTTTTCTTTTTGATGCTGAGTATTGAACCCAGGACCTTGCACATGTTAGGCAAAAACACTCTACCCATTGAGTTACATTCCCAGCCTTCTGATCATACTTTTTAAAATATCCTTCCTCCATCCCTTTAGTCTATTTTATGAAGAAAAATAACATTGATATTTTATGAATGCATGTATTTCTTGTCTTGCTTTTAAGAATGTAAGTTTCATGATGTATCTTGTTGCCACCATATTCTGAGCTCTCTTTCCCGTTTTCATTTCCTTCTCCTCCCCAAAATATCCTCTAGAACTCCTTAACCTGTTTTGCTTTTCTTCTCTTCCCATATCAATCAATATCTTATAATATATTATGTAGTTTTCTCATTTATCGTCTGATTCATATTTATTTCCTGCTGCTAGAATGTAAGCTCTGAGAGAGGAGAAATCTTTCCTTGCTCTTGACCACTGATGTATTCCAACTCTTAGATCAGATCATAGACACTTGATAAATATTTGCTGAATCAATGTACTTTACGGAAAACCCTGGTACAACTGCCTATCAAACTTTAATGTGTACTGAGGGATGTTGTTTAAAATGTGAATTCTAATTTCAAGTCCTGGTTGGGGGCCCCTATTTTTTGCAGTATGGGGAATTGGACCCAGGACCTCACACATGCTAGGTAAGTAGTCTTAACTATATCCATATCCAAGCTATATCCATAACTCTTTTTGGTTTTTAATTTTGAGATTTTAATTTTAATTATGGGATGGCACTAAGTTGCCTAGGCTAGCCTTGAACTTGTGATCCTGCTGACTCAGCCTCTAAAGTGGCTGAGATTGTAGGTATGCATTACCACATCCATTTTTGATTCTACATTTCTAAAGAGTCCTAGGCCAATGCCAATGCTGCTAGGATCTGTGAGCAGCAAGGCTCTGTACCATCCTATTATATACAGTGCACAAAGAAACATACTTTTAACAACCAAAACTACTTAAGTGTGAACAGTATAGGACTCAATTTTTTTTCAACACGCAAGAGACCGCTCTGATTAGTAGACAAAAGAAATCTTATTAACTTTTAAGAACTTCAGGTTAGCCATATCCAACCAAAATGTCATGATATATTTCATGCTCACCAAAATGCACAGATAATACTTACATCGATTCAAAATTACAGAGCAATGATTTGTCTATAGTAGCACAGACTGTAGCAAAAGTAAGCAGAAATTATTTCTAAGACATAAAGCCTAACAGATCAAAAATACTTAAAAACAAGCAAATGAATTCACAGCATCAGACAAATCTTTTTCAACTATTCTTACCTCAAGAGCTTTAAAAAAACATTCGGAATTTTCTGAAGACTTTAAAAACTTCACAAAAAACGGTTCTTTGTCATTCCTGGACATTTTTGAACTGTCAAAATAAAGGAACCATTAACAAGAACAAAAATGCATTGTGTAGAAGTTAAAATGTTCAACGCACCTATTTTTTTTTTTTCTGTGCAGACAAGAATGCCTAAGGATAGACATTCAGGCCTTGCTCATGAATTCGTCCATAATGTTTGCAAGAAACCCTGGAATGTGGGCGAAGTCAAGGTAAAAGATGACACACTAATCTTGCAAATCCGAGAAGGAAATTAATGTCCCTGAACTGAACACAGTCAGGGCCAATGGACATTCAAATGCACTTGGCTTAAGGATACACAGATCGCATCTGTGGCTGCTGATACCCACGGCCCGCGAGGTTTGTTCATCCCTAAGAAAATAGATTTTTAAATATAAACCTGGCAGCCAGCTGACAGGTCGTGCCTCCCAAAAGGTTGGATGCTCCTGCTCCCCAGCTCCCAGACAAAGGCCTTGTTGGAACACCGTAGCCTCGTTCTTTCTGGCGTCAAAGGCCCACCCGCGGGTCCCAGGGCCGGTTACAAGGGCGGGAAACCACGGTCCCCCAAGAAGGCCGCAGGAGAGGTCGCGACCCCCGGCTGCGGCGGGGAGGAGCTGGGTCCTCACTCACCTCGATGGAGCCTGGGGGTCTTCGGGAAGTGAGTTGGGGGGCGCGCAGCCCGCAGGACAGCGGCTGGGGTCGGGCGCCAGCCCGGCGCACAGCCCCCACCGCCACCGGGCGGCGCCCCCAGGCCCAAGCAAAAGCTGGAGAACCCGGAAATTGCAGAGACTAGGAACCGACTTTCGCGCCAACCGCGCGGACGCGCTACCTCTTCCGGCGGAAGTGACGCCCCCGGCGTCTGGACCGGAGGGCGGGATCTTTGAGGTGGGAGTAGGCGGTCCACAGACCCAGCGGCTCCCGGGAAGGTTGGGCCTGTTTCGCGGTTTATTAAGGCTTAGAAGGGCGACCTGGCTCCGGGCCTGGAGTCGCATGCCAGGAAAGGTCCTGCACATTCAAAATAATCCAGGGGCAGAGGGAGTTACTCTTCCTGGTGCAGGCAGTGTAGCAGAAACCCTATATTAACCAAAACATGTGTTTGGTGTGATTTGATAATTCAATTTACCAAAGCAAGTCGTCCCATCTCCACTTTAGAGAGGTACGAAAGCGAGGCCTAAGAGAAGTTGAGTGCCAACCCTTTTTATTATTACTATTATTTATTATTTTGAGACAGGGTGTCACTAAGTTGCCCAGGCTGGCCTTGAATTTGCAAATCTGCGTCAGCCTCCACAGGATCTGGGATCCCAGGTGTAAGCCATGGTGCCTGGCTCTGCTAATCTGCTTTCAACCCCTTCCTAGAAAGACCTGTCAGTTGCCTCCTATCTGTTCAAGGTCACACAGCTAGTAAATGGTAGAATTAAGTTTGCATCCAGGGCTTCCAGACTCCACCCCCTGGGTGGTGGGCTGGGGATGGGGCTCAAGTGGTAGCGCTCTCTCCTGGCGTGTGTGAGGCACTGGGTTTGATTCTCAGCACCACATAAAAATAAAATAAAGATATTGGGTCCACCTAAAAAAAACATATATATATATATAAATCTTAATCTTATCACTGGCTATCACAGCCAGCAGGTCTGAAGGAAAGAAAGTCAGTGGGATGTCTTGAGTGGCTGGGCTAATGCCTAGGGATCTGCTGGTTTCTGCCTCTTGACCCATTCAGTGGATATCCCCATTCTCTTTATCTGCATCTGCCTGTGTATTGGGGGATTTGGGGATGGAACCCAATGTTCAAATAGCAAAGAGCAGGCAGAGGTTAAAATGGGCCTGTAAAACCTCATCCTATTGAAAGCCAAAGATAAACTGCTTAATGTGTCTTCTCGTATTATTCTTGAATTTTGAAACAGAAAATGACTTTAGATTGAATAATGCATTCAATGCTGTGTACCTTGATTGTTTTTCTTTTTAAAGCCTAAAGATGGTAATGAGCAGGCTGGGTGTGAGTGTGCACATACACCCATGGGAGGTGACAGATTCTTTGCTTGGCCAAAGTTTAGTCAGGCTACTGAAACTTCTCCTGGGTTTGTCAGTGAACTTCCTTGTAAAATCAGGTCAGACTTCTCTGTCCTTGATATATGATCAAATTCCCCATCCTCCAACATCCCCAGGTGATGTTTGATCTCTCTGGCCTGTCTTCAGCAAGAATCCTGTTGGGTTGGTTTAGCCAGAGTCCCCCTTACTCTTGATGTCACCTCTTAGAAGATTACTAAGACTTAATTACTAAATTATTAGCCAAAGACCCCCTATTCTGATCTTTGGCTAAAATTACCACTTGCCACACTGTGTTCAGTTGAACCCAGAGTCTCCTCCAATTCAAAATCCCATTGCCATGGTTGCTGGTGACTGTACTTAACCTGTTGATCCTGAATAAAGTCTGCTGTGCTGTGCTTTAATAAGTATCATTGATTTTTTTTTTCCTTTAACAAAGGTGAGTAAGAATCAGTAACACCGAAGCTCAAAGGTAGATACCTGTTGTTGGGGGAGTGGAGAAGGAAAGCCTTAAGAACAAACCTACTAGAGCTGGGTGCAGTGGCTCATGCCTGTAATCCCAGCAGTAGGGGAGGCTGAGGCAGGAGGATCACAAGTTCAAGGCCAGCCTCAGCAACTTAGGCCCTGAGCAACTTAAGACTTTGTCTGAAAGGGCTGAGGATATGGCTCAGTGGTAAAAGCAACTCTAGGTTCAATCCTCAGTGCCAAAAAACAAAAAACCACTAGAATTACATGAAAAAAAACACAGTTCATTGTCAACATGCAAATCTGTCCTGAAGCTGTCATAATAATACCTCTGGGTACTTCATAGTTGACAAAGGACTCCTGTTTGCATTACTCCCATTCACTCTTCTCAGCAAACCTACAGTATGGTGACATAGATGAAGTGAGTGAAGCCCTCCTGACACAGCACGTGGCCCCTGTCACATGTGGCCTGCCCATCTCTACATGAAGATCAGCACTGGGACAGGAGCCTTCCTGGCACTCCTGGGGCCAACTAGAGACCTCAAGGGATGATATTCACAGGTGCTGCTAATGAAGGGCAGGAAACTAAACCCCACCCCTTGGCTTGTAGTCAACATGAGCTTCCTAACAGAGGAGTTAAGCTGATCTTTGGAACAGAGCACCAGCAGGGGACAGGTTCTCCCTTTTTATGTCTGCAAATAGAGTGGGAATCTGCATCCTGAGTAAAAGAGCAGTGGTCCTCAGGAATGGTCTCTAGACCAGCAGCATCAACACCACCTGGGGATTTGTGCAAGTGCAAATTCCTGAGGCTAAGCTCAGACCTGCGGGCCCCAGCATTGTGGCCTAACAAACCATCCAGTTGGTTCTGATGCACCATGAAGTTGACTTAAATAGCAGTCCTTTGGGGAAAGGTGAAAAGTGGTTATATAAGTTTGTGATCCATAAAGATTTTGGTGAAAATAAGAAATGGTTTTAATGTGCCCTGGGAAGCTGGAGCTTTTTCTCTCACCTCCTTGATACTTAGGGTCACGTCCTTGTTCCTCTGACATTTCATTGTTGCTAGAGCTTATTTTATTTATTTACATGCACTGCTGAGAATTGAACCCAGTGCCACACTCATGCCAGACAAGGGCGCTATCACTGAGCCCCAGCCCCAGCCCCAACATTTCTGTTATTTAGAGCCAAGTACTCCAGACTCAGCTTGAGGTGCAATTAAAGGAACTTTATAATCATCTACCTATAAAAGGATACAAACACAGGGAACAAATATGACAAAATAGTTATTTTAAAAACATGAGTGACGTGAGCCAGCTGCAATGGCACATCCCCATAATCTCTGTGACTGGCGAAGCTAAAGTAGGAGGAACACAGGTCCAAGGCCAGCTTCAGCAAGACCCTGTCTCAAAATAAAAAATAAAAAGAGCTGGTGAAAAGAAAGTGACCACAACCCTCGGAGTGACCAAGAGATCTTTATTGCAGCAGTGCAAAAAAGGAGAAAAAGAGAGAGAAAGAAAGAGCCGGGGAAGAGAGAAGAAAGAGGGGGAAAGAGCAGAGAGAGAGAGAGAGGAGAGGAGAGGAAAGGAGAGGAGAGGAGAGGAGAGAGGGAGAGGGAGAGAACAAGAGCAAGAGAGCAAGAGCAAGAGAGCAAGAGAGAGGGGACCGGCAGGAGGGAGTTTTGATAGCCCAAATCTAATGGGATCTCTGGGTCTGCAAGCTGCCTTGTTGGCACAAGGTGGGTTAAGTGTTCAGCCTTGAGCAGGGTTGAGTGTTCAGACTTGAGGCAAACAGGTGATAGAGGACCAGACAGAGGGGGTTTGAGTGGCCAGGTCACCCTGCAGCTAACTTTGTTTGGCATGCCCTGCAGACAACTTAATTCAGCCTGTCCTGCACCTAACAGCTGGAATTGTGAATAAATAAATGTAAATAAATAAAAAGAGCTCAGTGGTAGGGTGCTCCTGGGTTCAATTCCCAGGACTGAAAAAAAAATTATATCTTTGTAGCTATCTATATCTACAGATAGACTATATCTCTAGATAGATAAAAGGGAATTTAAAAATAAAAAAATGTAGAATTTTACAAGGTTGGAAAAACTAAAGATGAGAAACCTAGCTGGGCATGATGGCACACACCTGTAATTGTAGCCACTTGGGAGGCTGAGACAGAAGAATGGTGAGTTCAAAGGCAGCCTCAGCAACTGTGAGGCGCTAAGCAACTCAGTGAGACCCTGTCTCTAAATAAAATACAAAATAGGCCTGGGGATCCCTCTGAAACAACTGGTCAGCCCTTCTGAACCTGCGGAGGTTAATACCAACTGAGCCTTCATAGGCAGTGGCCACAGGATTGAGACAGGACTTGGGAGAGCCAGTCAGGACCCACCCATTGCATTGGTCACCCGGCAAAGGGAATGAACTGTCACCATTTGCATGGGATACCACCATGGCAGAGAACTGACGTCACCAGAATGCAGCGGAGGAGATAACTTCATTGAAACCGGAGGCAACAGTGACTTCTTCCCTTCCCTTCTAATACCTTTCCTCCCAAGCATC